CGGCATTGAATCTCGACTTTGGTATTGGAGACCAGCCATCTCTTCCCTCAACGATGAGTTGCCAAAGCTTCTCTGGAGTTGTCGCGTCTCCAGAGAACTTGCAGCTCATCCCAATGACTGCGATTGGCTCTACAGGTCCTCCTCCGGGCGACTGCATGCTCTTCACCGGGGAGCTAGGCTCAGAGGAAGACGCTCCATGACTCATGTAGGGTGTCATTCTGAATGTCTTAGGTGAGATATCGCAGATGTTCTCTCTTACACACAGACCAAAAGTCGAAGTTACTTAATGAGGTCCAGAGAAACTGGATGGAAGTGGGTATCCTGTTTGATAGGCAGAGTGACTAAATTGAGCGATGCATCAGATCGATCTCAGTTCTAGAGGACCTCTATGCTAAGTCTTGATTCTATTGATACAAGACACCAGTTGGATCATCGATACCTTCCAGCTTGCAGAGACATCTAGTTCGGTGTCAATGATTGACCATGGCAACCGGACTTGACCAAAAGTGGTCATGCCGAGTAAACAGAGATGAATGCCTCTCTCTTTGATCCTACAGCTCGGTATCGCGATCAAAGTTTACAGTGTAGCGCTATATCTCACGACCTATATGCAACCTGAAAATGGCAGATCCGCGAAAGTTCGGCGGGATGTGTGAGATAGCCCTAGAACGAGTGCTGCACGACGGAAAGTTACCAATTAAGGCCTAAAAGCATAAAGAGGCGAGCGTGCCGGGATGAGCCCTTGGGCTGTAAGGACTTAGCGGCTGACACCATGACCTGTTCGTCACGACTCGTGACGCACCGACGGCAGTGTAACCTTGAACCAAGAGAGTTACCATTGACACGCAACTGTAACCATCATCGGCATCACCTCGAGCTGTAAGATCCTTGAGACATCATCGCAATTTGTAAGCCATAGCTATTCAGGGACTGATTTTGCCTCGACGTGGGTGCCTTGGTACCTCAAAGAATTGTTTGTCATCTTGTAGCGCAATTAGATCAAAGAAACAATTTTCTGTATTCTAAATAGTACCCCTTTAAGAATCTTGTACTGGCTCATGCCACTGTCAGTCTTTTGCAGCGTTGTAATCGACGCTACTCTTACGCAATCTGGTGTAACCACAAGTTGAACATACAACTCGACGTTCAATATGCCTTTGACCGTAAATCTCTCGAAATGGGCCAAAATGGGAAGCGGGAAGTCTAGCTCGAAGTCTGATGAGCCCACGGTAACTCAGCAGCCAGCTCTTCAGAGTCCTACCCCTAAGTCTCATGTTGATGGACCAAGTGGCTTGAAGTTGGGTGCCATCACTCTTGGACTCTGCCTCACACTCTTCCTGGTGGGGCTGGTAAGATCCATCCTTCAAAGATAAGTCCTTGGGACTAGAGCTTACAGGAGATTTCACAGGATAACATCATTATATCAACAGCCATCCCACGTATCACAGACGAGTTCCGATCTATAAACGACATTGGATGGTACGGAAGTGCCTATCTGCTTACAACTTGCACCTTCCAGCTTACCTTTGGCAAACTGTACTCTCTTTTCTCCATCAAGCTCATCTATCTCATCTCTATCATTATCTTCGAAATCGGATCGGCTATATGTGGCGCTGCTCCCCAGTCTGTTGTCCTGATTTTGGGCCGGGCGATCGCAGGTGTTGGATGTGCAGGTATCCTGGCTGGAACCTTCACAATCATCGCTGTCATCATTCCGCTGCCCAAGAGACCTGCATATACTGGCTTAGTGGGAGCTGTTTACGCCATTGCTTCGGTCGTTGGGCCGTTGCTTGGGGGCGCCTTCACCGACAAGGTGACATGGCGTTGGTGTGTAAGTCATTGATCCGTCGGACAAAAAGCCGGTTATCTAGATTCACAGCCTGACGATGAATAGTTCTACATCAACCTCCCAATCGGAGCTGTCGCTTTCGTTATCATGATCTTCCTCTTCCAATCGCCATTTCGCCCTGACAATGGAGAAAAGAAAACTCTTCTGGAGAAGGTTATGCAAGTCGACCCCATTGGTACACTCGCTCTGATGCCTGCCGTCATCTGCCTGCTTCTCGCGCTGCAATGGGGCGGCACTGTCTATCAATGGAGCAGCCCGAGAGTCATTGTGCTTTTCGTACTGTTCGGTGTGCTCTCTGTTGCATTCGTTCTCATTCAGACCAAGAATGGCAAAAATGCCACACTTCCCATCAAAGTCATCTCTCAGCGCAGTGTGGCCGCAGCTTGTTGGTTCTCGGTTTGCACAGCCGGGGCTGACTTCACGCTGAGGCAGTACATTCCGATCTGGTTCCAAGCCATCAAGGGTGTTTCTGCCGTAGACTCGGGTCTCATGAACTTGGCCCTGATTCTTTCCACAGCTCTGGCATCGATTGTCAGTGGCGTGGGCATCACACAAATCGGGTACTATAACCCTTTCATGATTGCTTCAACACTTTTCATGTCAGTTGGATCTGGTCTTCTCACTACGTGGAAAGCAGACGTTCCAACTCGGAACTGGATCGGATATCAGATCCTCTATGGTCTTGGTTCCGGCCAGAGCATGCAGACCCCTTTGATGGTAGTCCAAACTGTCCTACCCATGGAGGAGATACCGCTTGGAACTGCTCTAGTAATGTTCCTGCAGACTTTTGGCGGCGCCATTTTCATCTCTGTTGCCCAGAACGTCTTTACCAATGAACTCAGGTCCGGCGTGGCAGATGAGTTACCAAACATCAACGCTACTACGATTGTCGACGGCGGGGCAAACAGCATTAGGCAACCGGGGGTGCTGCCAGCAAATACTCTTGATCCCGTTCTGCGCATCTACAGCAAGTCTCTTACCAATTCATGGTATGTTGCTGTTGGACTAGCGTGTGCAAGTATCGCAGGAAGCGCTCTGGTGCAGTGGAAGACTGTGAAACAGGCAAGCCCGCCACTGGCCGGGGACGAAAATGGGGATAAATCCTTGAAGGGTGAGGTGACTGACAGCATGGAGATGAAGCACCAAGATCTCAGTCCGACTGAGTCTGAGAGAAATAACGACGTGTTCAATAAGCGCAACGACACCATCTGAGCAAAGTGTGGGTCAGAAAGACAGAAAACTCGGAAACATGAGAATAGAGTCACATACATGCAGTTATCATCTAGATGGGTACTCTAGCTACCAAAAGGTGAAGCCCTGAAGGATCAGAGTTCTGGAATTGAATTGGCTGTCATCTATTAGGGCTTGCCAACGTGAAATGCAGAGAGTAAACGAAGTACGAGAGGCTCTCTCGGACAAGAACATAAAACTGAGATCAAGGCTTGAGGAGGGCCACTGAATCCACAGACTAACATGAGACTTGCACTGGAGCAGTACCGTTATTTTTGTATGCGGCAGAGCGTATGGGGCAATGCAGAGCGAACATGGGGTTGATCACTGGAAGGCCTGCGGAAGTGCTTGTGTATCGATACCTTTTTCAATCTCGCGCTGCAGCATAGGAGACCAGGCTGATGGGAGTGAGAAGAGAATGCATTGAAAGTTCGAAATTGAAGATGTAACCGAGTGACGTAGACTAGGCGTGTCCAAAACCCAGATGATCGCTGCGGTCTATCCTTATGCAATAGATCATAAAAATGATGGTGGCTGTCGGTAGTATTGATCCGCCGCCCACTCCATAGCCCTCACGACGGCCTTGATTTCAGACTCCTTCCTGGGTGGATGGTGCCCTCCTGAGTGATGCAGCTTCTTGGAAAGCCTGGCATCGCACATCTGGTATCCTATTTCATGCATGTCGTGCATAAAGGGAAAGTCTCGCCTGCCAGACACGTGGACCGTTGGAATTCGAATGCGCTCTGAGAGTAACATGGGATGCAGCACACGAGGGACCGTGGCGCCCGCATCCCTGAAGAAATCTTGGTTGAAGTCCGACAGGACGGCCCCAATCTTCGAAGCAGATTGGAATGTCTGCACCAGACAGTCATTGAAGACTTGCTGCCGAGGTGCAAGATCTTTTGCGTGCATCTCACTGCGGCGATATGAGCAAAGTTGGTCGATTTCGCTTTCGCAATATGTCGGGTCTGCCGAGAATGGCACGACGGATGAAAAGAGAATAGCGAACTTGAAGTCGGGCTCTTCGCTGTTGACTTGCTGATGGTAAATGTACGACAGGGCTAACGATGCACCTTGACTGAAGCCTAGTATGCCATCAAATGGGCCTAGGTCGTCAACAGTAGCAGCGATTTGGTGGTGCGCAGCTTGAATTTCTGAGGGCGAGTATCCCGTCGTGTGAGAGTAGAACGGTCCGCTGAGAGCTGGACTCATGCCTAGGATTCATTCCAGCATTAGCGTCGACTGATCTTAAGTATGCTTGATTTTGAAGTGACGCGTAGGCCATCTTCGAGAAGGGTTCTATAGGGCTATCTTGGTGGTGTTCTTACCAGGTCCTCGGTGCGATGGTACAGGTCCGTCAACCAACACAAACTCGTAGCTTGCGTCGACCGATCTCATCAAGCCAACGAGCTGGCTCTCTAGGATCTTGGCAGAACTGCCGACACCATGCAATGCTAGAATTCTCATGTCGACAGCGGCGATATCGAAGTAAATTCACGATAAGGGAACTTTCTGAGTTGCGAAAGCGAAGGGAAAAAGTAACGAGAAACTGCCTGGAAATTTACTTCTCTACTGCTACTATCAACTGTGAATGGGAACTTTTACAGGCCTAACAGCTAGGTTACGGCCGTCCCAATCGGGACATTTGTTGACCTCTTCACCGAATCAGGTTGAGCCGAAGGCCCCTTCCCGTGCTGAATACGGTAATCGGCAGGGATATGCTCACAACTGGCTACTGGTGATGGGCAGTGCTACTACTGCAGAGCCAAGAATTGTTGATTGATGCCGGTTGGAATTGCCTCATTATCGATCCTTGGGAAGAATTCCAAACCATCACACAAGTCCCAAATCGCATGCATGATAATCTTTTCATACAATTTTCCGTATCAGAGCCACTCAAGCAATAACAAGCCAGCCCATCATGAGCCCGTGCGACGAACAAGAACCGATTGCCATTATTGGCACAGCCTGCCGCCTGCCGGGGGAGGCGACATCGGTGGGAAGACTTTGGGACATGATTAGCCATGGCAGAAATGCCCATGGAAGAGTACCGTCTTCGCGGTGGGACGCAGATGTGTGGTACCATCCTGACCCTGATCGTAAAGGATCTGTGAGTACCACCAGTCGAAGATCGTACTACCGAGTTAACCGTTCAATCATCACAGATTAGTGTGAAGCATGGATACTTCCTGGAGCAGGATGTCTCTGTCTTTGATGCACCCTTTTTCTCCATGACCGCCAAGGAGGCAGCTGGAATGGACCCAATGAAAAGACTTCTGCTGGAAGTCAGTTACGAAGGCTTTGAGAATGGTGAGCTTTCTCGACGATTTTGTGTTAGAGATCATGAGTAACACTGAACATAGCGGGGATTACGTTGGGCGATCTGACGAATTCTCAGACGGGAGTCTACGTCGGCTGTATGACAAGCGACTATGAGCAACTCTCAACACACGACATTTTGGATGTCGGAGATGTAGCGGCATCTGGGATGAGCGAAGCGATGACCGCAAATCGAGTTTCATGGTTTTTTGGACTTCGCGGACCTAGCCTTACACTCGACACAGCCTGCTCATCGAGCTTATACGCGCTGCACTTAGCTTGCCAGTCACTCAAATTAGGCGAAACGAACATGGTATGAAGCCCCCTAGGTTGGTGAGGGACGTATCCACTAACACATGCTCAGGGCCTGGTCGCTGGCGTTAACTTGATTTTGCACCCCAATTTCATGCATCAACTATCCTCCATGCATATGCTTAGCCCCGAGGGCATCTCACACTCGTTCGACCACAGAGCCAATGGTTATGGGCGAGGTGAGGGTATCGCGTGTATCGTCGTCAAAAGATTGAGAGATGCATTACGCGACGGCGACACCATTCGAGCCGTTATTCGCGGTACTGGGACCAACGCAGATGGCAAAACACCGGGAATAACACAACCTAGCGCTGAAGCACAGGCCGAACTCATTCGGAGCACCTATGAGAAGGCCGGACTATTATACTCAGACACGCAGTATTTCGAAGCTCACGGCACGGGTACCCCGCTAGGAGTAAGTCAAACAGGCGTCGTAAAACTCTTTGACACCACTAATCCCATCCCAGGACCCCATTGAACTGTCAGCAATCGGCGCAACCCTTGGCTCCGGGCGCTCGCCAGAGTCTGGCCCCCTGTACGTCGGTAGCATCAAAGCCAATGTGGGACACACAGAGGGCTGCTCAGGCCTTGCTGGAGTTCTGAAATCGGTTCTTTGCTTGGAAAAGGGCATACTCGTTCCGACAGCCGGGATCGAAAAGGTGAACCCCAACTTGAAGCTGTCTGAGTGGAAATTGGCTTTGCCTTTAGAAAACATGGCTTGGCCTTCTCAAGGCCAGCGGCGCATCAGTGTCAACTCATTCGGGTTTGGAGGTGCCAACGCCCACGTTATTCTCGATGATGCACAGAATTACTTGAGAAACCGTGGGCTACAAGGAAATCACACTACAACCGTTCCTGAAGATGATTCTTCCGAGTCTGGCATCAGCATGGGTTCCGACTCACCTCGCCAAGAAAACGTTAAGCGACTCTTTGCACTTAGTACGCGAGACCAGGCTGCGATAGAACGCCTAGTTCAGTCTTACGGGGATTTCTTGTCGAACAAGGAAGCAACTTCGAGTCCGAGATTTCTATCTGACTTTGCTTACACACTGTCAGAGCGACGAACTCATCTCGAATTTCGCAGTTTCGCCGTGGCAGAGTCCGCCATAGACCTGCAAAACCAACTCAACAAGGGCCTGGCGAAGCCTAAAAGAGCAACGAAACACGATAACCCGATCTTTGTATTCACTGGACAAGGTGCACAGTGGCCCGCGATGGGCAAAGAGCTACTCAATAATTGCATATTCCGGACGAGCATCCACAGGTCACAAGCCCTTCTCGAGCATTACGGTTGCCCATGGGACTTGATCGACGAAATGTCCCGGACCAACGAATCAAATATTGATCTCCCTCAGTACAGCCAAGTGCTGTGTACTGTTCTCCAGATTGCTCTCGTTGATTTGCTTCAAGAGTGGGGAGTGAGGCCAAGAGGAGTTGTTGGCCATTCTAGTGGTGAGATTGGTAAGTGAATTAGCTAGCCCGCTAAATTGCAAATCCGGTGACCTTTCACTGACACACCCACAAGGCGCTGCATATGCTGCTGGCCTTCTATCTCGCTGTAATGCGGTAAAGATTGCGTATTTACGAGGCATTTTTTCAGCAAAGGTGACCGATGCTGTTGCACCTCGAGTAGGCGCCATGGCAGCTGCTGGGCTATCCCAAGAAGAGGCTGAAAGGTACATTGAACAGGTACCATCAGGTTCAGTCGTGGTAGCTTGCGTCAACAGCCCCTCAAGCGTAACTTTGTCCGGCGATCAATATGCCGTTACGAAGTTGTGCAGCGCCATTTCCACCGATGGGAAGTTCGCAAGACTGCTTCGGGTCAAAACAGCCTACCATTCACCTCACATGGCAACAGTCGCCCACGAGTACAACAACAACATGGGCAATATTATCCCTCTGGGCGAAGCCGAACAAGTTTGTCCAATGTTCTCCTCGCTCACTGGCGCTACCGTCACCTCCAAGGATCTAGATGCGTCGTACTGGATGAAGAACATGTGCGAGCAAGTTCGATTCTCGCCAGCGATGACTGCCTTACTAAACTACACGCCAGAGACTGCACAGAGTCGGGGTCGCAATCGATTGCAGTGGAGCGCCTTCGTCGAGATCGGCCCTCATGGGGCTTTGCAAAGTCCAGTGTTCGAAATTGTAAAGGAAAGCCAGAACAAGACCGCAAAGGAGGCCCCGTATCTCTCCGCCATTGTCCGCAACAAGGATGCAGAGATGACGGCGCTACAGCTAGCCGGTCAGCTTTGGAGTTCAGGTCATAGCATAAACCTTTTGCGAGTGAACTGCATCTATCCGGAGTCTTTACCACTCTCATTGCCCGACCTACCGTCTTATCCTTGGAACCATAGTAAGAGCTACTGGCATGAGTCCGCGATGGCTCAATCAGCCAGATTCCCAGGTGGTCCTCGCACCGATCTATTAGGGGTGTCGGTCAACCTGCAAAATCCCATGGAGCCCCGCTGGCGCAACTATCTCCGTATTGCCGAGAACCCGTGGATCGAAGACCACAAAATTACTGGAACCGTGCTTTACCCTGCGGCTGGCATGATTGTAATGGCCTTGGAAGCTGCATGCAAATTACAAGACAACTCGAGGAAGCTCAAGGGCATCGAATTTCAAGACCTCAAATTCGAGCGTGGTCTCGTCGTACCTGCAAGAGAACAAGGCCTCCAGACGGAAGTCAGCCTCAGACCAGACGAAGCGCTTTCATTCACTTGGAAATTCGCTGTTTATTCTTTGCCATCGAAAGGCTCGTGGACCAAGCACTGTCATGGAACGGTGAGCCTGGAGTACGAAAACGCCGAGCAGTTTTCCGCAGCACCCTCGGAAGAGAAATGGAGAGTCTTGACTAGCGATTGGAACGACCTGAAACACAAAGACTCCCACGAAATTGAAATGGAAGACTTCTACGATCAGCTTGAGTCTGTTGGAGTTGAGTACGGGCCGACTTTCAGAAATGTTTTTCGAGCGGTTGCAGTGACTGGCAAGCACTGCGCCCATGGATGTATCAGTATCCCAGACACCAAGTCTTCCATGCCTTTCGACTTTGAGTACCCCCATCTGATACACCCGGCAACCATGGACGCCATCTTCCATCTACTCTTCATTGCCTTTTCCGATGGCAAGCCCTTTCAAGACGCTGCGGTTCCTTACACGTTGAAGCACATGTACATTGCTGCAGATCTACCTCAGGGTGAGGGCGGTGTGTTCAGTGGTTACGCGAAGCGTCTTCGAACCAACGGCCGTGAGACCTCCGGTGACTTGATTGTGTCTGATGAGACCTGGAGCAGTCCGAAATTGATTATCCGCGACTTTGCATTGAGACAAGTGACATCTTCACAAGATTCTTCGTCTTCGAGCGAAAAGACTGAGCGAAAGGTTTGCGCAAAACTGAGATGGAAGGAGGACATCGACTTCGTTCGCTCATCTGCATCTTTTCTTAACTCGGACCAGGATCATTGCGGCGAAGTTGAGCTTGCTTGCGATAATAAGGTCTTGACGGCTCTAGCGAAATTGCTGGATATGTTGCATCATAAGAGGCCAGGCTACGAGATGCTTGTCGTCATGCAAGACGCTTTGAATAATTCTCGTCTTTTCCTAGAAGCTGTACTCAATATCTTTGAGAGAGCTACACGCAGAAAAGGAAGGAAACTTCACATCGTAACGACTTCAGAGGCGGCTGAAAGTCTTGCCAAAGAATTGTCTTCCACCAGATACGGATTATCAGAGATTCAAACCTGGAACCCGACGTCCCAGGACGAGCCTCTGCTCTCGAGTGAATCTTTTGACTTCATTATGAGCATAAGGTCAAATCATCATGACGATGTCTCCTTTGTCCGCTCGACATTACCCGCGCTGCGACATCTTATACGATCGACGGGGTATCTCTGCTTGGCGGATCTGAATCACCTCGGCTCAACACTAAGGCACGATGATGAGTCGATGATACTTACAGCAAGAATGGAGACGAAAGTTTTCCTACGGGATGAGATCAGCAAAATGACACTAGTAGTCGCAAAGAAGCCAACCCTTTCGTCACTTGACTTTTTGCCGTCTGAAGTCTTTCTGCTACACAGGCCGGATTTCACTCCAGCAACAAAGCGTCTTCTGGACACTTTGAGTGAAAAGTTAAAGTCACTCGGCGGGAAAGTTACATTGGCATCAATGTCAGAGATAGATCATTTGAAAGGAAAATGCATCATTTCTCTACTAGAGGTCGATTTGCCCCTTGTTTACGACTGGGATGCACAGAACTTTGAGGATTTCAAGCGTCTGGTTTCCAACGCCTCCCAAATCCTCTGGATCACGCGTGGTGGTCTCATACAACATTGGAAAGAGGGGTTGGAGTTCGCACCAACACAGGGCCTTCTCAGGGTCATGCGTACTGAATATTCCCAGGTCAAGTTGCCACATCTTGATTTGTCCAGAGCCAGTAGCCTAAGCGCGAGTAACACTGCCAGTATCATCTTTGATATCTGGTGTAACTTTGCACAAGGGGAATCTGCTCAGAATGACATGGAATACGCGGAATTCGACGGTAGAGTGTTTGTTCCGCGGTTCGTCGAAGATGAAAGCATGGACGCAGATTTACAAAATCCAGAAAGAGTTCTCGGGTCGGAGAAGGGGACTCTGGACAGCAGAAAAAGCTTGACGCTGATTCGACAAGGCAGCGAATCTGTTTGGGTTAATGAATCGGAGTCTCCTACGCCTCTTCTTGAAGGCGAAGTTGAGATTACTGTTGAGCTGGCGCTTGCGCATACCACATCAGTCTCTGAAGGTGCACCCGGCACTCTTGTTTGCTCTGCGATTGTTGGAACAGTAACCGCGATATCATCTTTGGAGATGACAACGAGAGTTGGACAACGCGTCATCGCGATTCATTCAGGGCCATGCAGAACTAGCGTTCGCGTTCCCATGTCGTTGGTTCGATCGATCTCTTCAAGTCTGCCGCCCGAAGAAGTTTTGACAACGTACTACTCATTTTTTGCTATTGGTTTTGCGTTAACACAGACAGCAAGACTCGAAAATGGCCAGACTGTTCTCATCCGTGGCAGCGACTCGCCGTTTGGCAGAGCAGCGATCCGACGAGCACAGGGAATTGGAGCAGAAGTTTTTGTTGCTGTGAAGACTTCCAACGCAACAGGTCTCGCTGCAACTGAGATGGGAGTTGACCAGGCTCATGTTCTGGATGACGACTATGATTCTTGCATGGACGAGATCCTTCGTCAGACTCAGAATCGGGGAGTGGATGTTATACTCAACTGCCTCCCTGGAGGAATTGACCCTAACTGGGTCGAATGTCTCTGCGACTTCGGGACTTTCATCTCAATGGAGCCCAGAGCATCCGGGCTCCCTCCCAGCCTGGTTGCTTCGCGCCGCAACGCCACCTTCGTGAGCTTGGACGTGTCTCCCCTCTTTAAATCAAAGCCGAAGCTTGCCAAACGCCTCTTTGACGAGACTTGCAAACTTCTTGAGACTGAAGACCTCATTCCACCGGATCCTCGATCCGTCAAATCGGTTTCTGATGTTGATGACATAGTGTCACGGTTTGACGGTGGCGAAGCACCTAGCCACATAGTCCTGACGTTTGACGCCCACGCCCAAGTTCTACTGCGTCATGCCAAATTACCTCAGCTGCAACTAGACAAACAAGGCACTTATATCCTCGCAGGAGGTCTTGGTGCACTAGGCCTCAAGATTGCGGATATGATGTTTGATCATGGCGCTGGACGTGTCGTGTTTCTCTCTCGGTCAGGAGGACAGAATAATTCAGCCGACCTAGATTGCTTCCGTCAACGAGGCCTGGCCATTGATGCATTGAAGTGCGATGTATCAGTTTCATCTCAAGTTGATGAGGCAATTCGACATCTTCAGGGGCAAGGGCGGCGCATTCGGGGCGTGATCCAGTGTGCAATGGTGCTTGAAGTAAGTTATTGAAGGAGAGTGACATATTGGCTCGAAAGCACTGCGCTAACAACAGCTTCCCAGGACGCAATCTTTGAAAATATGATATACGATCAATGGCAAAGGTCAACTTTGCCCAAGATTCAGGGCACAATGAACCTTCATGAGTTCACTCCTCGTGACGTGGACTTCTTCATCCTCTTATCCTCAATCACTTGCGTCATTGGAAACGCCGCGCAATCGAACTATGCCGCAGGAAACACATTCGAAGATGCGTTCGCTCATTTCCGTCGTAGCCAGGGCCTCGCTGCAACAGCAATTGATGTTGGACTTGTCATCGACTCGGCTCACTTCACGGGCGGCTTTGATATGGACGCTTATTTCCAGATGTATGAGCATCGGTGGGATGGTTTACAGACGACCCAGTCAGAGCTTGACGCCGTTTTGAAAGCTGCCATGCGAGGTCGGACAGCAGACGGAAAACTCATCGAGCCGCAGATAGTTCTCGGCCTGGGTAGTTCAATGCCCGTTAGTCCTTCATCGGCAGTATGGACCAAGGACCCGAAGTTCAGTCACCGGGTCAGTCATACTTTGGTCAATGACACAGATTCTCTTTGCAGACAGGAACCTCCCGCGAAACGACTTGCTCAAGCGGAGAATACCCAGGGGGCGGTCAGTATTGTGGAAGAAGTCCTGCGAGGCTACGCAGCACAGATCATGGACGTAGCAATGACAGAAATTGACACGGAAAAAGCTTTCTATGACTTTGGAGGTATGCTATCACAGGCCTATCCAATCTTGGTCCGGCATAAATTACCGATCATGCTGACATACCACCTAGTTGATTCATTGAAGGCCGTTGAGCTCCGGAACCGCATCTTCCGTGATGTGCAGAGCGATATATCAGTATTTGAGTTGTTGAGCCCCTCGCCTCTGTCCAAGTTGGCAGTAGACATTCTAAGGAAAAGCAAGTTCACGGCTAAACAGTAGAGCACTGAGTTCATGGAACAAAGGAGCGTAGCGAACGACATCCCCATGAACCCCATGCCACATTAATGGGATCCGTGGAACGGCAATGTTATGCAACGACTCACAGAAAAACAGCTTGGTTTCAGGATCATTATGATTTAAACTACCTTGATTTATTGTCTTACGCAAGTAATAGTCAGACTCCTTTTTCCAATACCAATTAACCCATTGTGATATATTGAAGTAAGGTAGGTGTGAGGGAACGTCGACAACCCCTGCCGCTGCCTTATTTCTCGGAAGCCCTCATCGCCAAGGCCATAGCTAAAACTGCGCCTGGTGACAACAAGCCGCTTGCAAGAGTAAGGCCGGCCACTCTTACGAAGAAAGAGTGTTCTAGAATTCGGAACCAATTATACTGCTTTCGAAATCTTCGGAATGAGCGAGATGATCTAAAGATAAGATCAGTCATCGGAACCAAAGTCGCCGTGATAATGAAGATGTCCCATTGTAGAAAGTCTCTAGCACCATCAGCAATGACTGTAGGAGATGCTGTGTTGATAGAGGTAGCGGGTACGAATGTCCGACGTAATTCCCCATGTTCTAAACATGCCAACGCCCACACGTGCCCAGTCGCGGCGGTAGCCCCCGAAATGAGCAAAGATGCTGCGATAAAGTTTTCCGATGCGTGTTGGTTATACTTAAAGTTGGAAGATCCTGGAATTTTGCCTTGAAGCCAGATGAATAAAGGATGGGCAAATGCGAGTGCGAGTGGAGTGAAGCGATACAAAGCTATCAGTCCTTGCCTTTGGTTCGTTGAAAAGGTTGTAGTAAATGCCGGAAACAGAAGCATCGCGGGTGTAATTGCTCCCAAAATCGCGGCTGGGACTAGAGCAAGGGCTTCTTCTGGGTTTGAAGGACCAATCTCGTGGTTTTTCGGTTGGTCCTTCTCCTCCTCCAAGAACCTTTGGACGTGGGCGAAGCAGTAAAGAGGATAAACAGCCGCGGCACCCCACGCCTGGTTAAAGACTCCCCAAAATAAGTGCTCACTTACACACAGAAGGATTAACATGAATACATGCGACTGGGCACGATCATTTTTCGGCACTTACATGTTCGTCCAAGGCCGTTTTTTACCCCTGCTCCAACCCAAGACAAGCATACAATGCGACATCGTCTGCATAGTGGTAAAAAGGCTGACCAGCAGCATACGGTCTGAACGCAATCCATTGCTGAGAATGTTGTTGTAAAAGATGACTGCTGGAACAAGCAGCTTGTCGAATGTCTGGAGGCCGGTGAAATTGGTTCGGAGCATGTCGCCATTGGGGAATATTCCCGTCTGCTTCACCATCCCGACCTCTCTCGCTGCACCACAGCGAATCATTCGCCCCCACAAAGAATCATAGCCCACCAAGCTCAATCCAAGAAAATAAGTGTGCATCTTCAAGTTTTAGTTCGTGATGTTGGTGCGCTGACTTCGCGTAAGATGAGCTCCGATGGAGGGTATGCGGGTCTTTGTAGAAAGGGTCATCGGTTGTGCCAAATTCCGGCGAGTCATTTGTAATCCTTCAGTGATGGAAGATGTTTCAATGATTAACCTTACTACTAATACTAGTCTTCCCCTCAAATACCCGCTCCATTGACTTTGCAGCCGAAATATGAAGGATACTCCCAGACTTCCTTGTAGTACTCCAATGTTTTCGTGAATTTCATGTATATGTAGAGGCAACAACTGACCCCTATCACTGTCGAAAGTGTCATCCCCAAATATAACCAGAACCACGCTGAAAGTTCAGGTACTCCATGCAAGATTCCAATTTTTCTATACGAGGCGTCCTTGTTTCCGAGTAGCCAGCAACCTGACTTTCCGACCACAAACAACGCAGCAGTCGCTGCCGTCATTGTGAAGACCAAAATAGGCTTCGAGTTTGGAGGCTTCTCAACCTTAACCCGTTGGGCATCCCAGACTGCGCCTAGGTCATTACCATCTTCCTGCAAGGCAAACTTGTTAGCAATGATAAACGCCTTCCCATTCCGCTTTTGTGGACTCACATATTCGACAAGCACCCCAATTTGGAACTCTTTCAGCGTCTTGTATGCATCCTCTGAATGGCCTACATATTCGAAACTTTCAGTGCCGTCGGATCCCGCAACATCCTTCAAGACTTCGATGCCCCCAGGATGATCATCGGCATATTTGGTGACGTCGTACACTGAATAATCCAATATCAGTCTCAGTGATAGCGGATGTTCAATATCTTGCTTACCTCTGCCCCGGATTGATATCCATAGGTCATCAAGTTCGTGATGTTTAGACAAATCTGACCGGCCGAGTCTCTGCATGATGCACTATACTGTTGACGGTTTCACGGAGTGATTTTGGTTAAGGTCGCTCGATACTAGTCTCTCATGTGGGCTGTTTGCCACACAACTCTCGACTTTGGTCGCTTGGTTGGTTCCCATCGATGATCGGCTTCGGCTGTCGCCAAAATAGCGAAATTTGCCCAACTCGGGAACGGGGTCTCCCAAGCGGGGATACGTCCGGAGATCTGTTAACTCGGATAGGTCCAAAATGGTCTCCGGCATCTCGTTCTGGATTAGTCCTATTGGATATTTACAGGGGTGCCCATGTTGAGACGGGCGTGCAGGGGAACGACAATGGGAATCGAAGTCTCGACATCTTTGGTACTCTGTATTGACGGGCGTCAAGCCCAGAGTGATCTTGAATTTCGCAGAAAAACACACCGTCTCTTATATCATCTTGCAATTGTTGATTTCGTTGCTTTACGGGGAACCACGTCTTCTGTACTTGCCATCTCCAACCTCGCGTGTAAGACTCCACTAAAGCTTTCCGCAATGTTCCAGCAGCAATTCACAATTGGCCATGGCTCCTGTGAGCGATGCCAGACCTTGAATCTGCCGAGTGTCAAAAGCATGCAAGAACTCAGATCCGGGATTGCGCGCATTTTTTCAGTCTCTGATTCTGAATGTGAGTCTTCAATCGGATATCGACTGCAATACACGACGCCAAGATAGCGACTAACCGTTGTGAAGCTATTTGTTTTTATAATCGAAGAGACGTTCTCACTTCTCTTGATGAAGTTGAGAGGAGTGATGGTCCAGTACAGGTCAGGGTGAATGACGAAGTGGTCAGAGAGCCGTTGGGACCAGAGCCATTACCACACGTTGGCAACCGCTACGAACTCTATCCAGATCCGCTTGGGAACTATGATCGCCTCTTTGACCGGTATGGGCCTGTTATCAAAACGATCAATATGGGCGTGGTGACATACCTTACCAATGATCCCAATGTCTCTCGCGAAGTTCTCCGCGAAGGGGAATACTTCACCAAGACTACATCAGATCCCGGCCATCCTCTGTACTACATGCGAAATAACGAGGCGCTCTTTACTTGCGACAGCGATGCGCCAGCGTTCGAATTAGCGCACAAGTACATTCCGCCCAGCTTAACGCCGAAGGCAGTCCGCCACTACACGCCAACTGTTCTAGCTTGCGTCGGGAGATCATTCAACGTTTTTGATGAGCTCGATGAAAAGCAGCTGGCATTCAATGTTTATCATTACACATTCAAGATGGCTGGAGAGATCATCTGGAAGGTCATTCTTGGCATGGAGCTAGGTCACTTTGACTCGATTGACACAAAGCCTCATGAAACCATTCGGCTTCTTGGCGAGTATCTTTCGCTCATGAAGAAAACCTCTTTGCGCGGAAGTTGGTATGGATACTTGCCATTCGGGATGCCAAAGAGACTCAAGCTAGTGAGACAACTCTTGTGGGACGGCGTTGCTAAAGGCATTGAGGATTCAGTCAAGTCCAGGGGAGATCTGCCAATGAAAGACGCTGCACTACATTCTACCAGCGTCGCTGACTACCTTCGCCGGGCCACCGACGAGAAGGGAGAAAAGTTGCCCGAAGAGATCATGCTGAGTAACTGCGTCATTATGATTGGAGCTGGCTTTGTAACGACCTCTTCCCTCCTAGCCTGGCTGATCTACGCCTTGGTCAAGTATCCCGGAAATCAGCAGCGTCTGCTCAAAGAACTTGTTGACAATGGGGCTTCTCCTAGCAAAGAGTGGAGCTATGATGAGCTGACCGAAATGCCGTTTCTCGACAAATTCGTAAAGGAGACACAGCGGATGCACAATCCGTCTTTCCAAACGGCGAGAAACGCAAAGCAAGATGTCGTACTTCCGGGCGGGTACTTCCTACCTAAGGGGTCTGTTATCATTCCAACTTTCCCTTCTCTACACAAGAATCCAGTGCATTGGGATAATCCGACGCGTTTTGATCCAGATCGATGGGACACTGAGGAGGTAAAGGGCCGGCACAAGATGTCTTACACTCCATTCGCGGCAGGGACCAGGGGGTGTGTGGGGTATAACCTCGCTCTCCTTGAGGTGAAGAGTGTCATGGCAAAGATGGTTTACCGCTATCACTTTGAAGATGCGTCTACTGAAGCCGTGGTGTATGATCCTGAGTTTATTGTCATTAGGCCATTGAACTTCTATGCTAGGGCGGTGCGTAGGACACAGTGGCCCTCGAGTCAGGAGGTATGAGGTTGAGTAGGTCTGATTTCGTTTTCTCTGCTTCCATTCTGATCAACACCACATTTCAAGCTTGTACTACCTTACTTTACAACTCTGTCATGATTGAAAATTTCTCTTAGGATCTATGACACATGCAGATGCACTGTAGTACGATAAGTACTTTTTTAACAGAAGATTGGACCCTTCACTATTAGGTGCTTAGCTCCAGATGAGTATGTTCGAAGAGACAGAATGTCCGAGGTTTTCAGTCAGTAGCTGGCATTGAGTTTAAGCTCGGCTTCCCCTTATGGTGGTTCCGGGACGGAATTGGTCAACCCCGAATCTCTCAAAACCTTCATAATTGTGGACGAGATAACGTTACATGGACTCAGACATAGGTAAGCTTAGTACAATGTTGTGCGACAAGCCCGTAGTGATGACATTGAGATCAATCTGTGGTTCATGAGAGAACAGTTATCATCATTACATGAGACATTCTAGAATAATTTAACTACCATGGCTACCAATACATTCACTGCGACGGTCATTCAAGCCGAGACAGGTGCAGCGAAGGAAAACTTGAATGAGATCACTACTCAACTCACCGTATTCGATCTCATTCCACCAAGAGTGTATATCAAGTTCATTGTCTATCTACCTCTGAAACCACAAATCAGCTTCCAACAGGCATTTTCTCACCTACAGTCTGGTCTTCACTCAACCTTGCGGCAATTTCCTTTCCTCGATGGTCGTATCTACCCTCGCAAGGAGCATGAGACCGGCTGGAGACCAGGGCACATCGTAGTGTCTTACGACCCAGACGGCTCAAGCGCCACAGAAGAAGCTCCCCGACAGCTCGCCTTTAAGGACTTGTCACAGGTGCTGCCCGACTATGAGGATCTTCGCGACGCAGGATTTGAGTTCTCTGCTTTCGATGATGAGCTCGTTCTAGCTGCCCCATTCGTGCCAGACTTGACGGGCGGTGCCGACGTCTTCTTGGCGCAAGCGAACTTCGTCAATGGAGGATGCATTCTTGCGACGGGATTCCACCATTCCGCTAGCGACGCGACCGGTATGGTTACGGCGATGCGTGCGTGGTCGGAACACTGCAGAAACCTCGCGCATCCGGATACCAACGTGTGCAGCTGGCTGGCTCCGGAGAGCTTCGATCGCACCCTTCTGGAGCGGCTGTGGAGTAAGACGCCTGCCAAGGCTGTTGCCAAGATCCCGCGCGATACTTGGGGCTTTCTCGGCTTTCAGCCGCCAGATGCGGAGGAGGAAACGGCTACTGCTACGGCCCCACCTGCGGCCCCGCTCCGGACCATGGAGTCTAGCATTTTCTACATCTCTCCGGACAACTTCAACAAATTGAAGAAGGATGTTTTAGATGACTCTCATGACGGGACGGGACTGTCGGCCAATGACGCACTCTTAGCGCTTTTCTGGCGCGCTCTCATGAAAGCGCGATACAAAGCGGCCATCGCATCCGGCCAGCCAGCGCCGGCGGACGAAGTGTCATACTTGGAATCTCCCGTCGACGGCCGCACGGATTTCGACCCAGAGCTTCCGTCGTCGTATGCTGGGAATCTCGTTATTGTCAACAAAGTTCCGATGCGGGTGGCCGAGCTCGCGTCGCCGACTACGAGCTTGCGCGATGTCGCTCTGCAAATTCGGGCACAGGCGGGCAAGGTGAACCCAGGCCTTGTGAAGGACGCGTTCACCCTCATGCGCGAAGTTCCGGACTACACGAAGCTGAAGCATGCATTCACCCGACTCGATGGATTTGATGTCATGATCACGTCAGTGTTGCTGCTGCCGTTGAATAAGATCAACTTTGGCGACTACGTGTTTGGCAATGATGGCAAGCCGGAGTCGCTGCGACCCTTGATGGATGCCTTCAATGCGAATTTCAGGCTTTGCATGGTGTTGCCGATGAAGAGTCACGGGGGTATCGAGCTGCTTATTAGCTTATTCGCTGACGAGATGGAGCAACTGCTGGCAGACGAGGAGTTTGCAAAGTATGCTGCATTTTACTGTCATTAGGTAGCCATAGTCTGTCACTTAGTAGAACAAGTTCAATGCCCCAAACAAGTCGGCTATCTACATGAACATCTGTGTCTGTTGTCTGTTCAAATTCCTCACCTTTACCGCCTCACCTTAATGACGGTATGCAGCGCTTCGTGTCGGGGGTCCAGCATTGACCACTGAAGACAGCCCAGTACCTGAGCCTATTCAGTAGCGTGACGCTGCGTGAGAGCTCGAGTCCCTGTCAAGCAGCACGTGTCTGAACAAGACCAAGCTCGGCAACACCTTATTCGGAGTCGATACAGAAAAGATGTCACCGTCCGTGTGGTTCACTGCTTCAGACTCAGAGGTGCCGAGGAATAAACTTAGCAAGCCTTATTATGAGGGGCAATGAATCGTAGTCTCCCGGCAGCTATCAGTCCGGCCTCCAGCTAGACACCAATCGGTGTCTTACTACAGAATCGGTCGCGTGTTCCCACCCACCAGTCTGGGTGTGTTAAACGCATCTAAGGTCTAGATCCCTTGTCCTAATAACAGACCGCTCATTCAGATCCCCGCGAGCGCGACGTGCGGAATATGGTGCCCAGACGCGCTTGCGCGACAGCTCACTGATGTGCATCAGCACCTGATCACGGGGTGCATTGGTAGCGCGGCCGTTGCTCCTGCAAAAGAATAGAGAATGTTCCATGCGACAATTTCTACTCAACGCTCCCGGGGGCCGAAGCGCCCGCTCGTGGCCCAATCCAGTATGAGGCATTTGATGTCTGTTCCCAATCGAGCTTGGGAGGTTTGGGGCTGTGTGGCGCGAAGGCCTGCGTCAAAAACTTTGGACGAGTTCTACGTCGCATGCGAGAGCGGCTATGACGGCAACAGATTAATTGCTGTTCATATTTATCGCGAAGAATGCAAGATCCTCTCGAGACTTGCGGCTTTTGAGTATGCCTGATATCAGCTTTCGGGGTTTTCAGGTAGATAAGGTAGTTCGTCCGGCAGTGAAAGCTGGACATTAATACCGCAGAGGAAAAAGAGGCCGCCCCATGGGGAAAGTTTTGTTATGGCTCCGCCTGTGTGAGGCGGTGCCCATGATGTCGCTCTAGAACCTATCTCCTCGGTTGGGCGCCGGGCATCCCCTTAGTTTCTCTACCTGAAGTAGCCGAGTAGTCTCAAAAACCTTCATATTACCCGTCCTTGTCCTCATCCCATTCTCGAACACGAATCGTCATTGAATCGGTATCTTTGGTGGCTTTTCCATTCTCCGACTCCCAAGAGCGACCAACATCGTCACAGCACAGCACTCATCACGGACTTTTCCTCAAACTATTGGAATGGTCACCACTTTCGCCAGATCTCGCGACCACAAGTCAGTTCGATCACCTCATTACTCTGATCCAAACATCTGCCAGGATATGGCAAAGCGTACGAAGGAGCGATACCTACGAGCACACCACTCGAACGTACGGTAAAGGAACATATTGGACAAGATTTAGACCCTCGACTTGGCACTAGTACCTCTTCGGCCTTCAATCGCATCAAAGAAGAGAGAACATAACGTCATGTCGCAGAAGGAAGACGACAAGTCCATCCGGGGACTCGAAGATGCGACCCTGTTGAGTCCCAACGGAAGCTGTCGGCATGTGGAAAGCATCTCGAGTCCTCGAGGAAGAGAACCCGAACGAGGGACGACCCGTGACGTAGCCAACATGGCCATGTTTGAATCCCCAACTATGCGGCCTCTGAGCAGACGTCCCACCATCGAGTCGAGGCGCACGACGTCGCCGCCCAACTCCGTCAAGGCATTTGCCAATGCGCGCCGCAGAGGACAGGATGTCGAAGCGCACGATCCGAGGGCCTCTTCGCGCAGACCTCAGGCCGAGGTTGAGAGTAGCAATGACTATGGCCTCCGGGTATCTCAACACTATTCCAATAGTATCAGTCGTAGCTTCCACAGCCGCAAGGCTCTTGATCGCGGTGCTCACGAAACCTCTTCGCCCGTGCCGAAGCCCAAGTCATCTCCCGAGGCCGAGGACACCAAGCTGGACGACGTCCAAAAAGATGGGCTCCACATCGACTTTGACTATTTGGAGACATTGATTGACGCTGAGAGTCGTGACCAGTTTGGCAGTTCCGACTTTGTCAATCTTCCGGATAGTTCCATCCCTACCGCTACGCGCATGTTTACCTCCGATGGAGACTTCATCGATGTTGCATCCCAAGCAGCTTCCATCGCGGGAGAGAAGGAGGCGACAGCACCCCAGCAGCCGCCCCCGAGGGCCAGCCAGCACATTGAACAAAGTCGCTTCAACTACTTCTCCTCGGCCTTGGAGTCAACCATTCATGCGGCGGAATTCGGCGACCTCGTCCTCCCAGGCGAGAGCATCAGGTCCTTGTTCGAGATGCCCGAGGCAGAGGCCGATGGTGTCTGGTGGCTTAACATGAACAACCCGACTGGCAGCGAGGTCTGGACGATTTGCAAAGCCTTTGGGATCCACCCACTTACCATCGAAGATATCATCCACCAAGAGAGTCGCGAAAAGATCGAACTGTTTCCGCTGTACTACTTCGCCTGCTTCAGGTCGTTCATCGTCGTCGAGGAAGATAATGAAAAAGACTATCATCCGTTCAACGTTTATGCGGTAGTCTTCAGAGAGGGGATACTCAGCTTCAGCTTCACTGCAAACTCGCATGCATCGACGGTTCGATTCCGGATTTCGCAATTGAAGGAGCAAGTTTCTCTCAGCAGCGATTGGATCTGCTACGCGTTGATGTAAGCCAAAGCCGCCTCAGATGTCCCTCAAGGAGGTTGCTTCTTGTAATGAACCTCATCTGACACCAGCGCAGCGATGACATCGTGGACTCATTTGGACCAGCGATCAACGAGATCGAACGCGAGGCCGATGCGATCGAAGACCAGGTGTTCATCACTCGTGTAGATGATAACCAAGCCTTTCTTCGGAAGATCGGATACACCAGAAAGAACGTGATGAGTCTCATGCGCCTACTCGGCGGGAAGGCAGACGTGCTTCGTGCTTTCACTAAGAGATGCACTGAAGATTTCGATGTCACGCCACACATGGACATTGCTCTTTACCTTGGCGATATTCAAGATCACGCGGTAACGATGATGCACAGCCTTGTCCACTTCGACACCATGCTCTCACGATCGCACAGCAACTACCTGGCGCAGCTCTCGATTGACAACATCGATATGGGTAACCGGACGAACGACTTCTTGAGTCGGGTGACGGTCATCGCCACTGTTATTGTTCCTCTCAATGTTGTGTGTGGTCTTTTCGGCATGAACGTCAAGGTCCCTTGGAAGGATACTGACAACCTTAACGCGTTCTTTGGAATCCTGGGCAGCATAACTGCTTTCGCTCTGCTGTCTCTTCTTGTTGCTCGACGTTTTAAATACCTCTGAGAATGATGTCGAGTAATTAGATCTATTTCTTTTCTTATAATACGTATACTTCATGACGTTGCGACAACAAATTTAATTGATTTCACGAACTACACGTGCAAGCAGTTTGCTTACTTCCATCAAGCCTCTTTATGGTCTACTCATGTGAAGTCCACGAAATTACCTTTCTGCCACCAGCCTGGAATCTTGTGGTAAAGCGAGATAAATTGGAAGTTACTTGTAACATGTTCGTTGTCAGCATGTCTCGAAGAAAGAGTATTGGTTGGCACCCGCCGTCTCTTGCATGTCGCTATTTACTTACTCACATACCATGGTGCCACCTTCTTGCTCATGTTCAACTCCCGTGCAACTCATCTCGGCGGCAATCGCAACTACGATGCCTAACCGTGCCTCCCTAATCGCGGGTGGTTTCCCATACCAAGACGCTTTGCAACTTCTTCATCCGGGAAGGCGCTGTGCCAAGCCTTGAGATCTTCCGTCTTGGCAGCTGTCGATGTCACACCAGTTCAATACGTCCTTCCCCAGTGAGACTATCACCTCCCCTTTTGATGTTGCCATGCCATTGTTTTGCGAGGCATATTCCAGTCTGCTAGAAGAGGGGAAGCTGCAGGTGTTTAAGCGACCTTCACGAGCCGCTCATGGTTCTTGCTTCTCGAATTTATAACTGAGGCTCTCAGCTTCGCATGCTTCGCCAAGATTCGATTCGTCGACGTCAAGCCTCTTATTGCCTCATCACTATTTGCACATCATTTCACCATGAAGGCGTCGCTCATCTCAGCTGTTGCCCTGGTTCCTGCGGCTCTGGGCGCGACTGTTCCTAGATCTGCGAAGGTCGACTATACTGGCTTCAAGGGTCTTCGCATCACTCTCCCCGAGGGCTCCGAGAACTTGGCCGACCAGATTAACGAGTTAGCTGCGACGATATTGAACCCCGGCGCCAAGGAACAGCTCGACGTCGTCGTATCTCCCGACAATGTCGACGCCATCAGCCAGCTGGCTGTGAACACCACGATTCTCCTCGAGGACGTCGGTGCTGCTTTTGCGGATGAAGATATGGCAACGGTTTATGCTGGTGAGTCTATGGATCACTACCACGAACTGATCTCACCTCATACTCATCGATCCATCAGTCCCCAGCGAAACCTGGTTCACTTCTTATCACAGCTATGCCGACCACTTGACTTTCTTGAGAGACCTCCAGAGCAGCTTTCCTGGCCAATCTGAAATCACTACCGCGGGCTCATCTTTCCAAGGCCGAGCGCTCACCGGCATTCATATCTTGGGAAGCGGCGGCAAAGGGTCCAAGCCGGCTGTTGTTCTCCACGGCACCGTTCACGCTCGCGAGTGGATTAGCACGATGGTGAGTAATAACTACAACATCCACAAGTATTCACTGCAATCTGAGTAATTCTAATCAACACATCATGCCAGACTACAGAGTATGTGGCTTGGCAACTTTTGACAAAGTACACAACAGACTCTGCCATCAAGGCCGTGGTTGATAAGTTTGACTGGTACATCACTCCTGTGGTGAACCCAGATGGTGCGCGCCCCTGCAGAACCTCGCCTGTAAACGGAGAGCAAACTCTTTCTTACCATTCTTCCAGGCTTTGTTTACACTCAGTCCACTGACCGTCTCTGGCGCAAAAATCGCCAGACCAACACCGGCAGTTCCTGCATCGGCCGCGACCCCAACCGTAACTGGCCGTATAAGTGGGAGCTGACCGGAGGTGCTTCGACAAGCCCCTGCGCCGAGACTTACAAAGGGGCTGCCGCCGCCGATACCCCAGAAATCAAGGGTCTTAAGGCGCAGATCGACTCTTTGTCTGCTAGCAGGGGTATCACACTCTACCTCGATGTCCACTCCTACGGACAGTACATCCTTTGGCGTAAGTTCATCCTCTCGATTGATCATGTGAGAGCACAGTTTTAACTCAAATGGTTATACATAGCTTATGGATATGATTGCAACTACGTCGCTCCCGATGACGCTGCGCTACAAAGCATGGCTCAGCGCGGTGCGACCGCTATCCGTGGCGTTTCCGGCACCAGCTACACTATCGGCAATGCTTGCCGTGCTCTGTACGCGACCACAGGCGATAGTACCGACTACGTTCACGGCGTTGGCAAGTCCAAGTACACGTACACCATTGAGCTGAGAGACAGAGGAACCTACGGCTTTTCACTTCCGGCAAGTCAGATCTCGGCTACTGTGAAGGAGACCTGGGCTGGAGTTCTTGCCATGGCCCAAGCTGCATGATGAAGGAACCATCTCGATCACAAGCCCACAAACATGACTTGTGAAGGAGTGAGGCCTCACTTGTTTCAGACATAGGAAAGTTGGGATAATTGTATAGCTTTGAAAGTATTCGTTGATCCAGCTCTGGAACTAATCAAGTTTGATTTGATCGTTGACCTCTGCCCAAGATTCATCTAGATTTGCGTTTGCACTCGGGTGTTCGTCACCCGTCGAGGCGTGAAACGTATAAGTCAGAAGTTCTACCGAGGAGGATACCAGTCGAATGCTTGTCATGTCACATTTGGTTTTGTGTTTCAAAGATTTCAGTAAACGAGGCACAAATCTTCCAACTGAGAGTCAATTAGGAACATGAAGGCTGCCAACTCAACTTGACCAAATCTCCTTCGTCAGGTTTTTGAAAATGTCCCCTTTATCCGCCGTGTTATCTAGTTTTTCACCGTATATCAAAAGCGTCTATGGGATGATGGTATCTGTATTCGATAACTTTCTAGCTCGTTTGCAGACTACCAAATATGCTACATGTACTAAGTACTTATGAAGGTTACAACGGGAAAATTCTATGACTTACTCATTTCCCTGCTTGGCACAACTAAGATAGAAGTATCTGCTAGCATACTAGCAGCTTTCAGTCATCAGGCAACCAGCTATCATCTCGGGGGTGGTATGTGTGGTAGGTGGTATGACATTCATGTGCGTCTGCAGAAGTGTGTATTTCGCGAGATCTTTCAGAAACATCCGAAACCATCAAAGATGATTGAGTGGGGGACCCTTCAGCTTAGTTTCCTACTCCATGACCACCGGCCCAACAATTAGCACGGTCTAGTAATTCCAGCGCTTGGCTACTGAGTCAGGAGCAACATAGCCAGTACAATCACTGAGTACTGATCTGTGAAGACGAAGGCAAAGTCGAGCTGGTTCCAAAGCCACGGCACACATATCATACTTGGTCTTAAAAACCCAGGAATTGTCTTGCTATTTGTTTCAGCTGCCATGTTACATGATTGTATTCCCCAAGAGTGAAGCTACACTCAGATGACATGACCGAGTAACTGGAGTTGCATAGGCCATCTCTCGTCTAACCAGAGGGTGGTCTACGAAGAGGGCTGCAGAATGATCCTTCTGTAGGTCACGAGAGGGATATCTCTATTGTCCCGAACAGAGAGTATGAGATGCATCGTCTATCCATTCAAGGTCAGCATTGAACTCAAATCCCATTTGTTATCGAAGACTTTGAAATGCCATAACACAGATAAAGACTTGCCTGATTCTTGAGTGGCTCAATCCTCACGACGCTGCTATCCGCAGTCAAGTTCGCGATATCCATGTTCTGACTGACCAAGGGAATAGTGAACCCTTCCAAGTCCCTGCCAGTCGCTTCGCGATAATGGAACCATTCAAAAGACAGGGCATCGGAGTCTGGGTCCCAGCTCTCGGCCGCATCAAAGACCAGGCTTTCACCAAACTGGTACTCAACTTGGAAACTTGACGGCCCACAAGAGCCATTGACAACAGCGACCGGCTGGTGGTTGTTTTCGCCAAATTTCCCGTTGACAGTCCACTGCATCCGGGAAGCAAAATCGTGCTGAAAATCCTCTCTCCATCGCCAAATGGTCGCGTATTTGCTTGAGAACGCCTCCCCATTCGCGCCACGGACATAATCCGCAGTATCGCTGTACAACCTGCGGCCCCCATCTGCTGTAGATGCATCTAGCAACGAGTATCGGCCGCCCCAACCACCCCACTGAGGATTGTCAATATCTCCGAGTCCATTTTGGACGAGGGACAAAAAGGCAGGGGTGTCGCCCTCCATGATGAAGGTCCAGTTGAGGTAGTGCGAACCTAGAGGTCCGATGCGGATATGCTCCTGCAGCCAATCGTTGGAGACAATTTCCGTGTTCGGACCTCCTTTATCAAAGTGGCGATACTCTTCTCCCGAAATGCCAATCCAAGTCGGTTGCGTGTATTCGTTCCAGCCGTGAAGAGAAACAATGTAGAACAACTTGGGGAACCGATCGCGAATCCAAGGCCCGGCATCATCTTGGTCTGAGATTGAGTAGACTCGGAGAGTGTCAACGAATTTGCTGACAGCATCAGCCTCGCGCGTTGACGAAACGTGTTGAAGGGCTTCAGCCAGAACAGCTGCTCCGCCCCAGACTGACACCCATAGCGGATCAGTGTCGCTCGATTTGTCGGCGGCTTGGACTAGGGCTACAGCTGCGCTGCTCAAGTTCTTCTGCTTGAGGAACGCAAGACCATAAACCGCGTGGCCACTGGACACCTTGCCCAAAAGATCCTCGGCCGAGGGATAAGTAGCGTCGGCAGGTACATTGCTGTTGAGGTTATCGACCACCTCGCCATACCCTCGGATGACCTCCTGGATGGTATCGGCATCCGTACGGTTTCGCAGCCAGGTCGAAGTTATCGCTGCAATGCCTTGGATGTCTAACTCGTTTGCGTAGGTAAGGAAACGGACGAGGCTCATCTGGTCGTCTGGTTCATTGCTCATGTCGGTGAGGACAAAGACACGGTGCTTGTGTTCGTATCGAGAGGACTGGCATTGTTTGCTGGCAAAGACCAGAGACGCAAGGATCGAGAAGAGAAAGTAAGCCAGCCAGAATGGCTGCTTCCATGCGGGCGTCATGACGAAGAGACTAGCCGGGTGCGAGAACAAGTTTAGGTCTGAGAATTGCAACAGACTGCTGGTAATTGAGTGCTTGTTTCAATCTAAGGTCTTCGCGTTGAGCGAGTCTTTGTCCTCGAGGCAAGTAAGGTCAAATATAACCTTGGAGTGTATACGATTACCCACTCCAAGGGATACCAATACTCTTTTAGGGCTAAGAAATCGGTTTGTCAACAGTAGAGCTGCTTTATAGGCAACTTGAGCCGATCGAGCATCAGATCGAACACCATCATGACTGCGTTCAGAGGTGATTGCTGCCCACATACGATCTCTTTTGCATAAATCAAGTGGTTCGACTTGACCGATCGAGTAGCCAGCCAGCAAAACCTCTACCTCGCTTTCCAAATACAATGCCCCCGTGGAAATTATGCCCGCAAGTAGCTCAGGGTTACATTACATGACGATCGAGTACAGATCGTGCACCCCGCCAAACGCGGGGTATACACGTATTAAATACCCTAGATCCGCAAAAGAGGCAATGTAGGGTGCTTATGATTTCCTACTTTGGCCAACCAGGGCTTCACTTACGTGATGGCCCAAGACCTTAAGCGGGCTCTCCGGAGCCGAATTCTGCCGTCTGGAATCCTGGTATAACTCTGCGATTGGTGTCTACCCCCATTATACAACCTGGTGTGGGACATCGTGAGCCCCCGCGGAGAAGCTCGGAAGCCGGTCCCCGGAGTCAAGACGACCGGTCATTTGTCAAATTCCACGCCGTTGATTGCTGCATGTGAGGGTTTCTAATGATTGACGATTTCAAGTCCTAACATCGAATTCATGTTCATATCGTAATGCCACGACTTGAAGACAATACCATGATGGTTCGATGAAGTGTCCCCCATGTCAAAACAGTTCAGTTACCCGAGTGTCGTCAAACAATAATTCTGTACTTATGATTACTACGCCCAGAAATTGAGCCATTGGGTAATAGCTTTACTTCCATGCAATAGTCGCTCCAGAGTTGTGAGATTCCCTTGCGAGTTCGATAATCCTGATCGCATCTCGAGACTGCCTCGCCTTGACCTCCAATTCGGCTTTACCGTTGATGGCATCTGCGAGATTCTCATAAATGCCCAGCCACCGGCCCGTTATAGTTGGGACTCGCCCAACATACTTCCTTGTCGCCTCATCAAACTTCTGGTCCTTACGGTACTCCTTGTATGTCGTCAAGGTGCCGTAAACCTCCGCAGACTCTTCGCCGAAGCCAGGCTCCAATGGTTTGCGGCCCTCTGCAATCTGCTCTTCTTGAGGGCATGTGCTTCTTTGTTGGAACTGAGAGAATCGATTAGTCAATCAAACTCTTCTTGTAGACCTTGTTGCAACTTTAGAAGCAGACTTACCTTGAGCCAAGAGCCCTTGGTGCCTCGAATGAAGTGCTTCAACTGTTGCGACATGGGCGTGGTGACTGATGTCTTCACAGTGACAAGGAGGTCTTTCTGAGGCCCTTCGTATTGCAGGATAATTGTGAAAGAGTCCTCAACCTCGCTCTCAATGCCTCTTTGAGCTCTGAAGAAGCCTGTTACGGACTTGGGACGACCGAACAGCGTGACAGCCTGGTCAATACTGTGTGTTCCTAAGAGGATGCGAAGTTGCAGTTAGACAAGGGTGATCAAAGTTGAGCGAAAGATCCAAGAAATGCATACCCAGACCAAGGGCCATGCCATCTCCAGGAGTGTACTCCTTTTTCGTCATTCCAGAGAGCCAAGGAGGCGACTCGAAGTCATAGTGAATTTCTGCCTCTTTGATATCGCCCAACGCATCCTCTTTGATGAGTTTTCTCAACGTCTGGAAATCGCCATCCTGATTTTTTCTAAGCACCTGCGCAGAGACATAATAGGGGCGAAACAATCATGAATGAGAAGGACTTACCCATCTCCGGTTTTGGAAACAGGAGAGAATCAGGCCCTTGCTCTCTGCAAGCTCGATGACATGGTCTGCTTCCTCAGACGATCTCGCAAATGGCTTGTCGGCAATTGCTGTGTGCGAGGGTCAGATTCAACATCATGATGCGGAGAGTCTGGGCTCCGGGTTAGGACATACCATGTTTTCCAGCTCGCAAGGCTTTCTCAGCAAACGAAGCATGAGTGTCCGTATGTGTTGCGACAACGATAAGTTGTGTATCAGGATCAGCGAAGAACTCCTCCTCTGTGCGATAGTGCCTGATATTAGGGAAGTCGACTTTGCAGTGGGAGCCAGGTGTCGCCGAAGACAGGTCTTTGGGAGCCTCTGCTCGTTGAAGGATGGCGATCACTTGGTAGTCATTATTGGCGGTGATGAAGGGCAGGTGGAAGTTCTTGGCGGCGAAGCCATAGCCCACAACACCAACCTTGATGGTGGACATGATGAAGGTGAGAGAAGTCTGTCGCTTAGGTGGAAGTTGCAACGTAATACTGAGCAACGTGAATTCGAACGTAGGGACGAGCTCAAGCTTTCTGCATGGAAATTCTGGCTTCACAGATAATGAGCGTCTGATGACCAAGGTATTTATGTCGTGATCGTGGTGCGGGGCACCGTCGCAATTAAGCCCGGCGATATTGGAGGATGGGCTTGGGGGAATTGGCGCAACGCCAAAGCCGATACTCCGCGGGTATACTCCACAACGGCACTTGCAACTCGAAGTCTCAAACACACCTCTCGACGTTTTCGAAGTCAGATTACTAATTGGGTGTGTCTACGTTTTTGGCGTTGAGCGCGCGATTCTGCTAACTGTGAAGAAGTCAATCTACATATAGGTACTAGCACGGTGCAGCAGACGACGTCGATGTCTCTCTCTGCCAAGCTGTCTGGCAAAGCGATCCACACTGGCAACGTCCAACTGTTAAACTTGCCTAAAGAAGCAGGTCACTGATGTCATGAATGGATAACAACATGGCCATATCCGATGATCAACCGGCATAATACTCGTAACCCGACATCAGTCGACCATATTGCGATGCATGGCGAAGCGAAACCTGTTCGCAGAAGTTGTGGCTTCTTTCGAATAAATGGCTCTTCAAGATAACCATAGTCATTTTCAGTCGTTGATACATTTTTCAGTGGCTTCTGACCATTAAGGAGATTTGTAGGTAAGGTACTGAGTGATTGCTGGCAAAGGCGTCGCCGTCTTATGTTCTCATCGATGGCTCCCCGCCCGTAAATTTCGGCAGATCTACAATTGCGAGGATATCACATTGTCGCTGCTTCATCTAGACATAGGTGCCTGTGGGTTGCTCCTCCTATCCGTAGCGTAAAAGTCGTACGCGGTGGCTGAGTATTTCCACGGACGAGTAGACAGCTTCATGTCAGCATCAGACATCATGACAAGATTGTGACATTGTCACAAATTTGGAAATTCCCCCAGCGGTCTTAAAGGGCTCTGGTACTTGAATTAAGAGGCCTGCGCGCTATCGAATCCAATCTTAGCGATTAACCTAGGGCTCCTTCTAGCGCGCAATATCTATTCAGGGCTACCATCCCCTATTACGGCTGTATCTAGTGCACGCCGACTCAAGGACACATCACGCATCTAAATCTAAGTCTGTACCTGAACAGAGCCCTAGGGCGCCCAGTAATTTACGCGATTGTGTCCTTGACTTTTTGAATCAATATCTTGCCAATTCGAAAGCGAAGTATACTTCGCCCATGAGTCGAACTGGACTGAAAGGGCGTACTAGTAGGGAAAGGCAATCATCATGTACCGTCGACATTCGCAAAGTACGCAGCTGCAAAAGAAATACATTTAAGAGGCACAGACCGCGAGCCTTTGAAGATTACTTATGTCACTGCTGTTCTACCTACTATCAAGAATAAGATCCATTACCAGTAAGTTTGTAGTCTTACTGTCTCTTGTAAGGAGTAGGTGTGTAAGTGGGATCCGCCGGGAAGGAAGAGATAGGAATCTCTGGTCCATCTTCCACAGGGTCAGTGTTTGGATCGCTTGATACGCCCGTGGAGGAAGCCTCCGGTGTTGAAGGCGTAGTGGGGGTCGCAATAATCCCGCAGTTCGTGTCAGGCTCGGCCGGAAGATTGGCGTAAAAGTCCGCGTTGTAAGCTGCGTCAAGAGAGGCTTGAATGTTGGCATCGGTGAATGGACAGCGGGCATGTTCGTAACGGAAGGCATTGAACTGCGACGTGGCCGCCGGCGACAGCTTACTCCAGCTAATCAGCGGCGGGCTGAGTCCGTACTGAGCATTGTTTGCCGAAGGGAAGACGTTGACCTGGCCGTCGTAACCCACGATGGCGTGAGTGTTGGTAGCGCCTGTTCCGCTGTCTCCAGAGGCAAAGATCGTCGACGTGGTAAGGCCTTTGTCGTATGTCTCTGTACCGGTGATATTGCTGATGCCCGCAATATCGTAGTTGCCAGCAGCGGCGTTGCAGGTCTCGGTGTGTAGCCAGACCACTGTAGTGAGGTACCAATGCCTGTGGTTCTCGGTCTTGGTCTGGATCTTGGGAAGATACCACGAGTAGAGAACGGCCGGACGCCCATTCGAGGTTCCAACTCGGGAGTAGATTTGACCCTTGGCAGAGTCCCGACAATCACCTCCACTCTTGCCCGTAGGTTTGAGGCCGCGCCTGGAGAGAGGATCGATGAGAACAAAGCCAACGGAAGACAAGTCGAGTGGACACGTACCCGTGGAGGCCATCTTTATCCACAGCTGCATACGGGAAGCATCCGCTACCATCGTTCAGCCAAGGCTTGAAACGAAGTTCGATGTCGCCTGGGGTGCCATCGGCCGTTTGCTGCTGAAAAGCCGCAATTTGGTCATGGTTCTTCCACTGATTATTCAAGGAAACGTCCTTCTCCCGTGGCGACAGGACTGCGCCAGCCGTCAGCGTGGCAAGTCCAAGCAAAGACGAGAAAAACGAGTGGCGCATAATTAGTGGCTATGATATTAACGAAAGACTAGAGCTGTATGATGTTGGTTCTTTCAAGTCTAGCCTGGGGGGAGAAAGCTAGATCATATAGCCTACTCAACCACCCCCAGCGACGGAGTTGTCGGTTCCTTGATCTTTGCAAACAAGAGAGCGATTTGACATCGGAGAAACCGAACACTGCTTGACAACAGTTGACTCGTTGAGCCTGCAACTGGGCCAGTTAATTAAACATGATAGTTCATATAAATAGAATTTACGGTTAACAACGCAGTTGGGACATGTTCGTCCCGTGTCTTCCATGCCAAGGATCTACAACATCGTGCCAAATATAGTGAACTGGCCTGACTCAGTGCATTCAATGTCCCACTTGCTGAGATCCACGACGACCCAAAGCGCTCTTTCTCTCGCAACCAAATGCAACTGGCAACTGACTGCAAGAGACTGTGGAAAGGGATCTGAATATTGAAGTCGAAGTGATAGCTCACATCAAGCGATTCAGCAAGGGAGTTCCGAGTCGACAACCCACCGTTAGTCTATATGCATAAACAACTCAAGCTCTTCAATTTTCTGTGACCAAGACCTGCCCCACTATGATCTCCTATTCCTCAAGAAACAGGACTGATTAAGGTTTCGGTGTGCCCGACAACTCTTTGTGGCGATCAAGTTCGGAGAATGAGGATATATACCCTATCATTGAACAAGTATCTCCAAGTGGTAGATATCAAGAAACCAGCTCTTCAATTCGACTCTACATACAGCCTGCCATCGCGCAGCCAACACTCATTGGCTTAATTTGTATTACACTCGCTTACCAAAATGCTTTCAAGTCATTTCCCTGCCATTCTTCTGGCACTCGGCTCCATTGTGACCCTAGTATGTTGCCCCAAGACAAAAGATCTCCACTCTCAGCCGGGCCATCATCTTACTAAAATAATCCTGCGCGATAGATCTCTGGCCAACCTGTCCGACCATTCGCTGTAAGTATTCCGGCAAGCCTTTGCTTCAGCACCAATTGACTAATTCCCATGCAGGGAAACCGTGCTTACGCCGTTGACGCCGAAGCTGATGAGACTGGCAACCGATGGGCTTTCTCTGTTTACGCAGACGGATACACTGCTCGGGATGAGGAGGGCAACACCTCGCCTGTCGATACCCTGCTCGTCAACAAGGTGTCCAAGCGCTTGACTGTCATCAAGGCCATGAACGGATTCGACACGACCACGCCCCGCCTCAAGATGCGACAGGTTCTCAAGGAATGCTGGAAGATGACTGGCCTTCAACCCTCGGAGTTGAAGGAGGTCTTGGGCTACCAGATTGAGAACGACGACATGAACAAGGCTTTGGGAGAGTGCCGTACCAAGATTGGCCTGAGACCTACTGCATCCTTCGAGATTTCCAGCAAGGAGACGAACGCAAACCGCAAATGGTGCTGGGAGAGACTCGGAACAACGATCTTCTCTTCGGCGATCAGAGGTTCAATTGCGGACTTTTCTATCAACAAGCAGCTCATTCAGATTAAGGTCGACAATGGTGGAAAGTGGGATCACGTCTACTATGAGTTCTCGTAAATAAGCCAAGGTGTTTTCGAGGGGTCTACTGCATTGGATTCTCGGCGAAGGTGGCAGCTCGAGTGTTGGCCTGCTGGTGTCCATGTATCTGCCGAGGGGAATAATCGAATGTTAATAAACCTGCTATTAGAACACTATATCAAGGTCACAAGTAGTTGCTTTGACTTTCGCAAGCTCGATAAAGCTCTGCTCGTCTGTCCGTGCAGGGAGATAAGTTCTGCCCAATGATGTTGACGCTCAGGCCTATGCCAGCTTAGGGCTGATGCTGGGGTTCTGAGATTACAGTCTCTGTGTTGCTGCTATAGACAGGCAGAAGAGAGACGGTATTCTGGAAACTAACTGGGTTGCCTAAAGACCTGTCAAGGGAGGGGCACTACTTACTTTTGTGTGTCACTATCAAAGCAAACGCTCGGCGCTTCACATCATACGCCCTCGCATCGCTATTGGTACTTCTGATATTGACCGGAAAGTCCTACGATGTCATCTCAGCCCAGCCCAATACTAACACCAATCTTGCAGGAAGGCTTTTGGGATTCCCAAACGTTCACCTAACGTCACCCAAGCAGCAACAAAAAGTAAAATCCTAAAAGCTTTGACATCTGCCTTCTCACCAAAGCCACGATCAAGGGCATCCTCTACCGCATCATAATCCACGAAGCCGAGATTCTCCACTCTATCTCTAGTCAGGGTATTCAGAAGCATGTTGTGAAGCGGTCCGCCTCTAGGCCACTTGATAGGGGCTGTGAACGGATGCTTTTGCCGCTCATACAACTCTTTCAGAATGAATGGTTTAGCTGCCTCTCGAAGGATCCACTTCTCGGTCAACGCCTGTGACGCGACGCCGATACCTTCCCACCAAGGACCTTGGTGTCGCTCAGGGGTTACCTTGTCGGGTGTGTAAGCCATCTTGAGACTTGGCGGTAAGTTGTTGACGTATTCTGTTAGCTTGTGGTCGAGGAACGGCGTTCTGGCCTCCACACTATGAGACATCTCCGTCAAGTCACCGAGACAGCTTAGCAGGATATTCGGTAGCGGGCCCTTACTGTATATGTACTGAGCTGTATGTAGCGGGTGCCACTTCCTCTGCATCTTTTGCAATGTCGCCGGCTTGAAGGATTTCACTATGACATCCTTACAGTCAAGGTCGGCCCATCGCTTGTCCTCCCGCACCCAGGGGGCGAATAAGTCAAGGGTAGGGTGCCATGCCAGGATGCATGGAGGAAGAATGGTATTGTTAACCTTTTGGAGAGCTGCTGTTGCCTCCCAACCGTGCTCAAAAGCGCCAGCCCGAGGAATGAGCATCTTGATATCCCGCTCGGTGGATCTTTGCATGTTTTCTCTGAGCTGCGAGTCGGCAACCAGCGGCGAGTCTGGCATAGAAAGGTCGGGCTCGCGAAGCAAATCTGGAGGGAAGAATGCGTATCCGGCAAAGTGTTCGTCGGCACCCTCCCCGGTTAACACAACTTTGACTCCGTTTGCATTCGGCAAGGTCGAGAGAGCAAACTTTCCGACGCAGTTTAAGTCGAAGTGGTGATGCTCGCAGTGATAAGCGCAGTCGGCAAAGTTCTCTGCCAACTCATTTTCGTCAATCTGCTTCTTTAAAATCTGGACGCCAAGATGCTCTGCTGTTCGCTCGGCAATGTCTACAAACACACGATGAGAGACGTGACATTTACTTGAGCGACCAGAACTTTCTTACCGCTTTCATCAAATCCAGATTCCTTGGGGAATTGAATTGTGAAACAGCTGATCCGGCTTGTCGCGTCTTTGTTGCCAATTTTGATGCCCTCATCTCGTACCAAGTGAGTTACTATCCCGGCAACCAGAGACGAGTCGATACCCCCCGAAAGGTAAATGCCAATCGGAACATCAGCTCTCAAGCGGAGACGAATTGATTCTGTCAGCTCGTCTCGCAGACCCTGGACCATCTCGTCAACGCTCCGGTTTTCTCCCTCCGTCTAAAAAGTTGTTAGCTGGATATCCTTCAGAGGATCGGAGGCGCCAATCACTTTGTCTTTATAATCAGCATCCCAGTACTGGTGTATCTGCATCACGCCGTCTCTCGATATCTCCATCCAGTGCCCCGGGGGCACTTTCTTGACTCCCTTGAATAATGATCTTCCGTCTTGCATCCATCCACCATCCACGATCGCACCGACATCCCACTGCGGCTTCCATCCCAAAGGTCGGAAAGCTTTTGCTTCTGGGGCAACCAAAAGCCTGGTACCACCATCAGTCTGCCGGACAACAGTCCACAGCAATGGCTTGATGCCGAATCGATCTCTCGCCAAGATGACTTTTCCCGCCGTCTCGTCGTAAAGCACGAAAGCGAATTCTCCTCGGAGATGCTCTAGAAACCGAGGTGCGCCGAAAGCCTTGTATAACGCAAGAATCACTTCACTGTCACTGTGTCCCTTGAATACGTAGCCTTTTGCTCTGCAGTCTTCTCGGATGCGATCATGGTCGTAGATCTCGCCATTGACCACTGCATGAACGACGTCATCATCACTGTGGATAGGTTGATTGCCGTCAGGAGTCAAGTCATTGATAGCCAAGCGGCAATGACCCATCACTGCAGTGGTTTTTGGTCAGCTCATGAGTGAGCGTTCATTATGAGCATCAGTACTGACCCACAAAGCCATTCTCACTTGCCCACACCCCTTGTGCGTCTGGGCCCCGATGGCCTATGGCATCGAGGCTTCTTCTCAATTGATCTTTGAGATTCTGTAAATCTCCCCTCTTATCATCCCCATACTTATTGGTAAGTCCACTTAGTCCGCTGGCATATCCATTCAGGGCCCCAGTATGAAAATGGTGGCCCGGAGGAAGTGTGAGACAAGCTGAGATGCCGCACATCTTAACTTTCGCTGTAGATAAGATAGAACGGTAGCTCGTTCTAGATTTGATCCGATGCGATAGTAGGAAAAATAAAGGCTCGCGAGTGTCATCTCACAATTTCAGTAATCATTCCATCTAGGTAGCTTACGAAGTGACGAAAACAGATGCTTTTGGTATGCCTTGAGATTGACGGATATCCGGGGTGAGGCCAATGTTCGTCGGGGCGCCTTATTCGGCATGTCCCACTCGGTACCGGCCGAAAAGGGAATTCCCGGACCCGTCCCTTCGGGGCACTACTTACTTTCGCTGCGACAGCCAACTTTACCTGGCGGTACCTATTGGTGAACTCGGACCTCCTAGAGCACTGATTAAAGCCACAAGATTTGGATCCTGCAGCGAAACATTCACCTGAGAATTGAAGACGAATATCGTAGAAAGGCTGGAAAGTGAGGTGGCAGGTACCTGATCTAATAGAGCCTTTGCTCAGTGTGGGGTACGATGTGCGGCAAATAGACAAAAGACATCTTGATGGCAGCCCGACAACAGTGGAAGTCCTTTGTAAACAGCTATGTTGACTGATAACAGGCCACGACGTGTGAAGCGATTAGTTTACGACGCAATCATGTTGAGTAGACTCTCTAATGGTGACAAAGAATATGCGTTTCGATGTCTAGATTCAGGAAGAAAGTTCTGTGCTTCGCCTCATGGAGTTTTTAATCCCTGCAACAAAGCCTAACATCGGGCCTCATGGCCTTCTTTATACGTCGATGCTCGAATACCAGAGCAGTAGAAAGCCTTGCCCATCTCCTCTCTAAGTCATGAGTTTCGGACTCTTCGAAGAACCCGATGCCAGTGCGGCTTAGGGCCTGAGCACCTCAGTCGTCTGATGGGCCTTTATGTTATACCCAAATCTGCCCTATCCCTGTATCTCTTCTCCGAGTCCCTTATGCTAATACAGGGAGGAGGAAGTAAGGGTGATTACGCAAAAGAGTGATGTGACGGTCGATACTCGGACCAACTGATGGAGGGTAATGTTTTCTCCTCACGACATTCGCGAGACCGACCCAACCACACAATGGCTACATCATGCAGTCTGACCGCAAGGTCAGAGTTTCCAAATCCTTTGCTCTATGTGGTTGGTGTGTTCGCGTAAATCATTGCTAGGGTCAGAAGCACCGGACGAAATAAGTCTCCGTTGATTGAAGCTGCAAGACCTTTATCTAATGGAAGAACCGCTCAGAAATTATGAGGCTCTCAATCACATCCACTAGTATTGTGTGCTAGCCTTTTGATCAATCAAATCAAGGAGGCATTGCTCCGCTCCGTGAAATGGTATTCAGCATCGTCTCCATCCGCAGCTGGATCTGTGGATTTCTGGTTACAACCATACTTGCTCAGTGGGCAGATCCTGGCCTCACTCAGGTTGCGTTAGGCGTAAACAACGCATGCGAAGCTGGCAGTGTACGGCATCCTGAGCTTGACAGCATTCATATCATTCCACTTACTGCGGCTAAACAACTGAACTTCACGTACAATCCACACCCAAGATCTCTGTTTGGCCGGGCGATTTATGGCCTAAACTTTTGCAATACCACAGTCATCTACACCCATCCAGGCTGGAACGATGAGATTCAGGCTACAAATTTTCTTCCGATAGAAAATTGGAACGGGAAATTTCAGGTAAACGGAGGCGGCGGATGGGTCACGGGGGGGATCGAAGTGGGCGGGATTACGATGATGCCTTCTTTGGAGGCAGGATTCGCCGTCAGCACAACTGATGGTGGTCACTCGAGTAAACTTGACGACGCATCGGGTGATGGTATGTCTTGGGCTTTCACCAGTCCCGGAAACATCAATTGGCCACTTTTCCTCGACTTCTCCCATGTCGCCTTACACGACATGGCCATGATTGGAAAAGCCTTGATGGAGGCTTTCTACAGTACCCCTTCAAAGTCCTCGTACTTTTTTGGCGGCTCAACCGGCGGAAGACAGACTTACATGCTAGACCAGCGCTCTCCAAACGATTTCGACGGGATTCTGGGCTTCTGTCCTGCCATAAACTGGGACAAGTTCCAATGGTCTCCTCTGTGGGCTCACATAGTCATGGATGAGAAGGGCGTCTACCCTCGACCTTGCGAGTTCGAAGCCATCACTGCTGCGGCTATGAAAGCATGCGTCGGGCTTGACGGCGTCGAGGATGGGATCATTTCTATGCTCTCTCGGTGCTTCTTCAATGCTAGTACTCTCGTCGGCCATGCTTTTGACTGCGGAGGGAAAGACGCGTTATTCACTCCCGAAGCAGCAGAGGCGGCTAATGCTGCTTGGAATGGGCCACGAAGCGTGACCGGCGAGTTTCAGTGGTATGGATATGGGAGAGATGCGAAAATGTGGCATTTTGGTGCTCTCCATACGTCGTGTGATGGCGAAGGAGAGAAACGCGCGCCGGTCAGGTTGTCCATCGCTGAGGCGTACGCACGATACTTTGTCGCCAAGAACGCCAACCTTGACCTTCAAGCCCTTGGTCACAGTCAGTGGGATGATCTTTTCGTCGCGTCACGGAACGAAGACGAATCAATCACCGGCACTTCCGATCCCGACCAGAGCAGGTTCCGCAAGGCTGGAGGGAAGCTACTCAGCTGGCATGGGATGGCGGACCAGATTATCCCAGTCAACGGTACTGTCGATTACACAGACAAAGTCCTCAAGAAGTATCCCAAAGCCCACGACTACTTTCGCATGTTTCTCGCTCCGGGCGCTGATCATAGTATCTCAAATGGCCTTGCTCCGCGTAACACGCTGTCGGCGCTGGTTGAATGGGTTGAGAAGGGAATTGCACCGGTCACGTTGCGGGTTGAGGGGCTCAATGCTTACGGCAAGCCTATGACGAGAGACATCTGCATGTACCCGCAAGTTCAGCACTACGTTGGTGGCGACCCAGCATGGCCGTCATCATTTGCTTGCGTTTGACAGTGAATTAAGCATTCGATCAAAGGTCAATTATTCGTGGCTGCCAGGGGCACAAGAGCATCAATCTCTCTGTCGCAAAACGGTTGGGGTGAGAAGTACTTCAGCGGGAGATGGCCGAAGCGATCAGACTGTTTCCGAAGATGGAGGCTGAGCAGACTTTGATGAGAGGATGGGAGCAAATCTACACGCGGCGTGCCCATCAAGATTTTTGCGTCTCAATACTTACTAACTTTTACTTGATAAAAACTGATATTGGGACCAACGATCAAAATATGAGATTCCACCACGACGGCCTTTCGCACCGCTAGATTGTTACGCGGCGCCAATGTGAATATGGTTCCTTGAGCAAAAACAACAAGGCATTGATGCCGGTAACTCTTAAGACGAGGAATTATCAAGTTGAAATGATGCTTCACGGAACTATGATACCGCGATATTGACACCGCAGGATATGGCAGACGTTGAAAGCAGTATTCAGCCTCCGAAGCGAAGTTCGGAATCAAAGACTGAGCCAAGTTAATCTCGGGGAATTGTGGCCTCTTTGAATGTAGTGGGGTAAATTAGTCCACTCCGAGTTCACGCCGATGACCCCGCGTTCCGCGACCCTTCTGCCGCATTTCTATCTTATCGGAAGACGCGCCCCCATCTGCAGTCGGCTGACGGAGGCGCAGACGTGTGAGCGAGGTGGGAGCAAAGTGGACCAGACTTTGACGGAATTGCGGCCGATACAAGCTAATTTTCAGATAAAGAATGTTTGTTTGGCATCACGCACACTATCAGTGCCACTTCCGAGCTCCCACTAACTCCGTTTATACTCCGGTAGTTGGGAAACTTTTGGATTTCGTCATGTTCTCCGCCCGAAACACCTCGGCAAAACGGATGGCGTTGCCGCTAATCTATCTACTGACAAACACATCTTGCCCGGCATTTCTTTGAAAGAAATCTGATTTAGATATAAAGGCTTCACAGGGACCTAGTGTCTTTCACTGTATCTCTTCACGTTGGACGTTGAACAGTATCGCCGCACGTTATTTTCAAGATGGCTACCGACTACAAATTCGAGGGATGGGTGGCGGATGACCCCTCTTCGGTGGACGGCAAGATGGTCTGGCGAGAGTACGAGCCGAAAGTCTGGGAGGAGACGGACGTTGATATCAAAATTACTCACTCGGGCATTTGCGGCTCCGACATTCACACTCTGCGTGCTGGCTGGGTATGTCGCACACTCATGCGGCGTCCGCTATTCTGCATGTTCTCCGAGTCTCAATTGGCTAGCGTGCTGACTGTGACGTTTAGGGTGCCACCAGATTTCCTGCCGTCGTCGGCCATGAGATTGTGGGTGTAGCCGTCCGTGTCGGATCTCAGGCAGAAGGCGGCATCAAAGTTGGCGACATCGTCGGCGTAGGCGCACAATCCGACTCGTGCCTTTCGCGCGACGGGCCCTGCGATGCGTGCGAAGTTGGAGAGGAGAACTACTGCACCAAGCGCGTCAACACCTATAACAGCTTGCATCGCAACGGCAGTCAGACACAGGGCGGATATGCGCTGTACCATCGCTGTCCGAGTTATTTCGTGATCAAGATCCCCAAGGGAATTGCTCCCGAGCAAGCTGCTCCCATGCTCTGTGGCGGTGTCACAGTTTTCTCACCCTTGAAGCGCTACAACGTCGGGCCCGGCAAGAGAGTCGGTGTCATTGGCGTCGGTGGCCTCGGCCATTGCGCGGTCTTGTTCGCGAAGGCTCTCGGCGCAGACAAGGTGGTGGCTATCTCGAGAAAGTCTGATAAGAAGCAGGATGCTACGCAGCTTGGTGCAACCGATTTCATCGCCACGGCTGAGGACGAGGACTGGGCCACGAAGAATGCCCGCACCCTCGACGTGATCATTTCGACGGTCGCGTCTCCTAAGGTACGTGGATGACCCTCCCTCCGTGAATAATCTGGCCCTTAGGTAGAAGCTCACACAATGATAGATGCCTCTGGCCCAGTACCTTGGCCTTCTATCACGCGGAGGCACATTTGTTCAAGTTGGTGCTCCCGAGGAGCCGGTGCCACTGAGTGCTTTTGCCCTGATTAGAACCCGAGTGCATTTGACTGGATCAGTCATTGGCAGTCCTGGGGAAATCCGAGAAATGTTTGACCTTGTGGCCGCGAAGGGAGTCAAGGTCTGGGTTGAGACACGCCCAATGAACGAGGCCAACCAGGCAGTTTTGGATATGGTCGACGGTAAACCCAGGTATCGATATGTTCTGACAAACTAAGACTACATTAGACACCATAAATAACATGACCCATCCTTTTATTGACTTGGAGGCTTCGTGCCCTTCGACCTTACTAAGAAGTAGAGCTCCCCTTTAGGCTCAGATCACCTGGTTTTTTGATGCCTGCGGTGGATGGAACTTCCGCAACGAAAATCGATCAGAAATTGGCCCTCAACCCGAACACTCGTCCTGCCTCAGTGGGTGTAGCGTGTTCTCGGTAAACGCTCAAGGGCGGATACTACTCTATTTAAGCAGCATGGATACGGGTAGCATGGGTCAACAGCCTTGGTTTTCGCTGGAAACCTCCATCGCAATTTACTTCAGGGCCCACACCGAAAGCTCACTGTCAGTCTGGAGGACTCGAGACCATACTGATTCGTTGCCATTGTCATCGCATTGAGCAATTCGACACACGTAGACAACGAGGTCCAACTCAAGCGCCCACTGGCATACAATTCGGTTATGACGATGTATTTTCTTCACATCTTACGGCGCAGTGAAGATATCTCTCTCTTGAGTCGAATGCTACCCGTTGTGGAGCAGAACCCCTGTACGGCCGGGGATCTGCGGTTGACATCACGACAGAATCTCGTATTTGCCGTTCTTCATCTCCAATCTCGTGTCATTTTTTCTCGCAAAGCAACAAACTCCCCATGAATAACATGAGAAAGCGGGGACGCGATCGCGGGCCGCCCGTGACCAGTTTCTGGGGTTCAACGCCACCATCTTCTTATATGGACGACATGTTCGCGCGACGGAATGCAGCTCTCTCTCCGCTTCTCATCCATCGGCCTACTTTTAGTGAGCGGGTGATCAATCAGACAAAATGAGGGTCTCACACGCACTAGTCTCGGCCCTCCTGGGTTCGAATCTTGCCGTCGCCAACCCGATCCATCCGCGCATCTATACGAAGCCTCCGCCAGCAAAGCTCCCAAGAGCCGAAACAAGTGAGAGCAACAACGTCAACCCGAGCGAGCTTATTCCTGGCGCCTACATTGTCGAGTTCGCAGACGATAATGATTCACCCGAAACCTTCTTCAACTCTCTCAAGGCGGATGGCCTCGACGTCGAATCTCGCATGGACCTGAGCAACCGTTTGTTCAAAGGCGTTTCTTTTCAGGTCAAGAATGTTGGCGAGACCCACCATGATAGCGCACTCCTCCGTCGCAAGATCGAATCTTCACCGCGCATCAGAAGTCTCTGGCCTGTCCGTACGATCCAGCTTGCAAAGCCCGAGGACCACGGCGCGCCAGCCAGCGGTGCGATCACCAAGGCCAACGCGAGGCGTCAGGAAGCGGCATTCGGAAACTCAACCAAGGACACCTTCTCGCCTCACGTCATGACTCAGGTCGACAAGCTGCGTGAACAGGGTATCACCGGCAAGGGAGTTCGCATCGCCATCATCGACAGTGGCGTGGACTACACCCACCCTGCCCTTGGCGGATGCTTCGGCCCCGGGTGTCTGGTGGAGGCCGGCTGGGATTTCACGGGAGACGACTTCCTGCCCAACGTGAGACCGCTTCAGCCCGATGCGGATCCAATGGACAACTGCGCCGGACACGGTACCCATGTTGCTGGTATCATTGCTGCTCAGCTCGAAGGCAACGAGTATGGCTTCACGGGTGCCGCTCCTGGCGTCAAGCTGGCAGCATACCGAGCGTGGGGATGCGCCTCCACATCGACGAACGAAGTGTTGCTTGCCGCGTTCAGCCGTGCCTTTGAGGAGGGGGCTGATATCATCTCTTGTTCTGACGGAGAGTTCGTGCACCTTATTTACTTTACGCGAAGCGTTCATGCTTTGGTTCATGCTTTGCTAATCTCTTTGATAGTCCTTCTGGCTGGGCGGAGGATGCTTGGGGTGTCCTTGCTGCCCGCATCGTCGACGCCGGTGTTCCAGTCGTCATCTCCGAAGGTAACGATGGCGGCAGCGGCCTGTTCTACGCTTCAACCCCGGCTACTGGCCGCGGTGTCGCGGGAAGTGGTGCCGTGACGAACTCCAAGTTCCCTACTATACTCAACGAAGGCACTTTCTCCGTGGACTCTAACTCATCATCGGGTGCCAAATCTGACTTTGCCTACTTGCCTGGTGTTCCAGAGCTCGTGGGAGACCTCTCGCTTCAACTCTGGAGCCCCGGCGAGAACAACGCCTGCAGTGAACTGCCTGATGACACTCCCGACCTCAGCAACAAGATCGTCCTGCTTCTGTTCCCCGATTCTCGCGCTACGGGATGCTACCCCATTGACCAGGGTAACAAGATCGTCGCCAAAGGTGGACGCTATATTCTTTTCTACACTAATGACAACACGTGAGTCCTCCCCTTAATGTTTTCAATGTTTCACGACGTCTAACATTGCCTACAAGGACTATGCGGGACGAACAATATGTCTACTCTCAGGGGATCCAAGGTGTAGCTTCCATCCCACCTTATCAGTCTGGCCAGTGGCTCTCTCTGTTGGAGCAGGGTCGCAGCGTCACTATCTCTATCCCTAGCGCAAACAATACCAGGACTCGTCTTGAGGAACTCGAGAACAACTCCAGCGGATCTTACATGGGGTCTTTCTCAAGCTGGGGCCCAACTTGGGAGTTGGAAGCCAGCCCGCAATTCGCCGCTCCTGGAGCCAACATCCTGTCTACCTTTCCCGTTGCCCTTGGTGGCTACCGTGTTATGACGGGCACTAGCATGTGTGAGTAATATTCTTTAACGTTTCTTAGGCTTTGAGGGTGAAGTAGCTTCGCAAAGTAGACTGACATATTCTCAGCTTGCCCTCTGAACGCCGCTATCTACGCTCTTCTCGCTGAAGCCCACGGAACGAAGGACCCCAAGCGTCTCAGATCCATCGTGTCGTCTACTTCAAAGCCTCTGGCCTGGTATGATGGAACTGCAGCGCATACCGATCTCATTGCCCCTGTCCCGCAACAAGGTGCTGGAATCATTCAGGCGTTTGACGCAGCTCGTAGCAACGTTGAGCTCAGCGTCGACAGCATCTCCTTCAACGACACCGACCACTTCACGGGCAACGAGACCTTTACCATTGACAACCATGGATCTGCCGACGTTGTATTTGAAGTCAGCCATCGCAAGGCCGTCACCATGTACACCTTCGTGGAGACCACGGATCGCTTGAGGGCTGCCTCATTCCCTAACCCCACCATCGAGGAGTGGGCTGAGCTTCAGTTCAGTTCTGGGTAAGTCACTCACAGTATGTGAGGTTATTCAAATGCTTTAGACTGACAACTTGGACAGGAAGATCACAGTGCCCGCTGGAGGATCCGCAGAACTCACCGTCACCTGCATTCCCCCATCTAACGTAAATGCTACGCGTCTACCAGTCTACAGCGGCTACATCGCCCTCACCAGTACCACCGATGCCCCTTCCCTGAGTCTGCCCTACCTCGGAGTCGTCGGTAGTATGCATGGTGTTCCCGTCATCACACCGGCGCAAGCATATCTCGCCAACTATTATAGCCAAGCTCCGGCCAACACGACCTACACTGTCAAGCGCCCTGACCCAGCCAACCCACCTCTGACCGACCGCGGAGACCAATCTGCGATCCCCAACGTCATTATCTCGCCAACAGTTGGCACCGCCTCTATCCAGGTCGAAGTCTTGCGCGTCAGCGGAGGCAAGGAGGAAAACCTAGGAAGCTTGGCTGGCTGGCCTCTCCCATACGCCCCTCGCACCGAAACACGCGCTTTCTTCAATGGGCTGCTGGCTGATAATACTGTTCTTGAGCCTGGTGTTTACGCCATGAAGGTTAGGGCGCTGCGGATCTTTGGGGATAGGACGAATGAGGGAGACTGGGATGTCGTCAAGACAGTGCCATTCGTGTTGAAGTATGAGACATCTGGAAACGGAACTACGACCTCGACGTAATATCCGGAGGCTGTATTCTGTATAACATCTTCATAATTATCTCCACATTCAAGGGTTTAACGAAGATGAAAATAAGTCAATTCCACACCCACCAATATCGATGGCTCATACGACAAGGCGTCAGAAGGATGTCGTGGGTAATCCGTTAGGAGCCTTCCGAGATTTATGAGTGTTCTCGCGCCATACTAGTATCTACTACATGCCATCTCATGAACACCTCGCCTGGCCTCCATACCACGCACAGCCTGATTCATGATTAGCCTAGAAGGACTCGGCGACCTAGAACATTCAGACAGGCCTCAAGATCCCAAGACTCAATCACGGCAGTGTCTCTCTTCAGCCAAACAGCTTCAAAGACCTCTCTAGCCAATCTCGGAGGACCAAAGTTTGCCAGATCCCCCATTAGATCAAGGATTTCACCAACCAAGCCTTCTTGCTCCTCCTTGGCCAAACAGGCAGTTACACAGATAGGCCATGCGAGCGTGTGTAACCAGCGAGCATTGCCCAACTTCATCATCAACGCAAGGTTCTCTCTCACTGATTCCCCGATCTCCATGCTGACTGATTGCCAGCCTGAGAGAACTATGTGAAGGTAAATAAGGCCAGCATGAGCCCAAATCTGAGTGACTCGGGTGATGGCCTCAGACTCCTCTTTTGCAGATCGGTAGTCAGCTAGCCAAGGTGGTCTCTGATCCCGCACCTCCGACTCTCGCGCGCTCAATGAACTAAGGCCTTCTCGAAACTTGATCTCGAGAACCCCGCCCCTTCTGAACAGCTCGAGATTTGAGAATGACTCCTGCTTGCGCATTTCCTTTTTCCAACAGGCTAGCAACGCCACCTCCGCAATCAATATCATGACCCAGTTCTGGCAGCCGATGAAGCGCTCTAAGAGAAGACTGCAGTTTCGGTTTGGGACCTCTTCAGGCTTGTCATCAGTAACGAGCAACTCTTGGTAGTTTGCTTGTAATCGTGGTGCCTGTCCAAGTGAAGTGCTCGCCATAATGTCGTGGACTACAAGAAGAGCCGTGAAGAAGCGAAAGGCGCTCTGATCGAGTGTCCAGGCAGGAAACTCTGGAGGGTTTTTCAATTGAGGATACGCGAGTCTGCCGACTTTCCGGCATGTAGCGGTCCATTTACAGCCTTGGAACTCTTCGTCATCGACCTCGTGGAGTATTTGCTCCAACAGGGTAATACCCGCATCCAAGTGCATAGTCCAATTCTCTGACGTGCCAAAGGCTGCTTCCAGGTATAGCAGATGCACGATACTGTCATAGAGTCGGACGCTGGTGATCAAGTCCTCGTGTACGCCGCGACGGATGACTTCCTTGACGTCTTGTTGTGCCTTCTGCATCGCTATGTGCGTCTGCTTTTGCAGTTCAGCTTCGACCTGAGACACGCACTTGGGTCTCTCTGAGTGGCGGCGTTGCACCGGTACGAGGGCAAAGAAATGCGAAGCAAGGCTGGTTGCAGCATGGGATAGTGACTTATTGGCCAGGGTAAGAACGAGCATCCAACTTCGACCGCCTTCAAGTATGGACGGATAGTAGAAGGGGAACAATGCCGGAACAATGTAATCTAGATACGCTGAGATGTAACATTGCTCCAACTCAGTCGGAAGTTGTGGTGTGGACTTCTCCAGGCTAGAAGTAACTGATGATTGAGGTCCGGGGTTGGGTGTTCCATCGTTGGAATAAGAAAGCGGCTGTGATTGCAAGTCTCTGTCGTGAGATATGCTGGGCTGCGGAACAGTTGATGGAGGGTTTTGTCCCAGAGGATATCTCGCAACAACCCCTGGAGACCCCAAAGTTGTTGATGGCGGCGGCAAAAGGTCATTGGCGTGGGCATCTCCGACGATGCGCTGTACAACCCTTCGAGCCCTCCTCAACTTGGCGCTTTTTGTAACCTCAGCCTTCAACTTATCAGTCATAGCCTGCTGTCTTGGTCCGCCATCCATCCAGTCCGGGGCCTCTTGGCCGGAGAAGCAGGTGATCTCGAGTCCTGCGCAGACGTTGCAGACGGGCAATGATTCGTCGCATTTTTTGTGGCGTATGCGACACGTCCAACAGCTTAACGTCTCCCGTGGCATGCTTCGTCTCGTCGTAAGTCCTGCTAGTTTCCGTCGTCTCTAGGATTCGGTCGGGAACCAGAAGATATGGCTTGGTGTACCCAACAGCCATGCGATATCCAGATGTTTCCGCGCGGTTCACCTCAGACTCGGACATCTTTGAGGTGATGTTCGCTGTGATCCGCTGAGGGCACCATGCCCATAGCGGGTCCGCTAAGCTGCTAGTGCCCTGTTCCCGCCCCGACCTGTTCCCGCGCGGGAACGTTCAGACGCGGCGGACTTTCGACAATAGACGACGGACTTTGAAGTCGTGATAGTTGCAACATCTAGTCTATGGCAGCTGGAATTCCGTATAAAGGGAATTGGAAAAGAACTGCTCATTGAAGACTCAACGTAGCTTCTTTGCGTCAACCCGAAAGTCTTCGATCAATGTCAGGCAAGAAAGTCCTAGTTCTTGGTGGAACCGGCCCGGCAGGTATTTGCCTACTGCGAGAGCTTGTTCATCGCAACCATGCAACTATCCTCCTGGCAAGAACCCCCTCAAAACTTCCGGGTGACTTAGTCTCTAACTCTCTAATCGAGGTTCGTTGTGAATTTGAGCCTATATTCACTATTATGCCGAGTATGACTACATTCAAACTAACTTCAGTTCTTTGTTAGGTAATCGAAGGGGAAATGAGTGACACGAAAGCCCTAGACTCAGCAATGGCCCGCTCGTCTATAGTTGTATCCCTCCTTGGGCCGAACATCAACGACAAGCACATCGACCCTTCTCTTTACGCCGATATTTACCGCTTTCATGTTTTTCCAGCGATGAAAAAATACGGCGTCAGACGAATTTTAGCCATGGGTACAATCTCTACAAGCAGCCCGAAGACCACTGGACATTCTTCCAGACCATGGTCACGATTGTCATGCCACTTTTGAATGGAGCTGTTTACCGCAATATGCATAATCTTGCTCACTTATTTGGCAAAGAAGGTCACGATCTTGACTGGACTATCTTCCGCATAGCACAGATACCTGGAGAGTCTGATGAGACTAGCTGGAGACAGGACCGGGATCTCGGACTGTTCACTGGGTGGATAGGAGAAAAAGGTTGGACATCAACTCTTAGGCGGGGCGCACTAGCTCGATGGCTCGTGGATGGAGTCGAAGGTAAAATGGACGTTTGGGTCCATAAGATGCCAGGGATCAGTCAACTAGCAGGGGTCTGATTGACGTAGGTGGAAGGCAGTAATAATAATCCAAGCTTGCGGGTGCACGTTGAAAATGTACTTCAGAGCTATTTTCATTATTGCGAGATGAGCTTACTGTGGGCTCATTATCTTCGTGCTGAGGGCAGCCCGTAATTGCTTATTGGCATCAAGTCTCATATTATCCGGCTACGGAACAGGGCTACTGAGGAGGTAACTCATGTTATGTCGGCATACGTTTTGGATGTCGTTTTCTAATAAAGGAGCTTCACGTCGGATTCATTTGGGCGGACATTGCATTTTCTCATTAGACGAAGTGCTCGAGAGCATATCAGGAACAGCCACGATGCCTACGTTCTAGGCCTTCAATCTACTCTCTATACACAACGTCTGCTTACCTTAGGTGTCGTAACCAATGAATGACAGCACAGAACGAAAAGGGAAAGCTGCTCGACAACTTACCGGCATTGCGATATGTGAGTTTTGATAAGAAGACTATGCTGAGTCTAGATCAAATAGTAAGGTTACCTTACCGCGGAAGTCGGGACGAGATAGGCGCGAGAGACTCTTCCGGAACCTGCTGCCGAACTGCCATGTCCGGTACTGCTTCCCAGCTTCGGGAACGCCTGTAACGTCAAGAAACCACGTCAGTCAATGCTTGCATAGTGTAAGTGCCTGATGGCTTTGGGCTCGTGACAGGCTCGTGACAATCTTGTGCAGTTCAAATCTCGGCACCGAGCATATTTCTTCGCCAGTATTACCCGTACCGAACTGAGACGACAAGTCTTCAAAACAATCCGGTTTCTGCTCATGTTATCGATGGTTTGCACTAGTCTTTTCTCCCTTCCAATAACACGAAGGCGTCGCTTTGCCTATCACACAACCTACAAGTTACGTCTATAGCCAGTCTTTTAGGAGGCTGGCCGTCTCATGACCTACCATACTCGGACATCCGGCTGTTCTTACCGTTTTGTCACAATGGCTCGGTTGCGAGTCGGGTAGACCTGCGACTTTGTCTACGGACTGGAAATCAGAACTCCTCGAATTGGCGCAAAGTTTCTTGGCGCCCTGAAACGGAACCTTCCTAGTCTTGGCATCCAATACGTCGGATATATTGTTTCCACCCGGAAGCAGCCACCTCGGCTTTCGTTTCTCGTTTTCCTCTCTGGAAATACTGCCCCATGATTGAACTGCTTCACGAACATAAGGGATGTCACTGCAACAAAAGCACGTGGATTTGTCTTTTCTTGCTTATTACGCTCCTCTCCCCCACTGAGGGGTGAGGACGATTGAAGCCAGCATCATCCCGAATCAATGATCGCTCCATTTACACTCCCGCGCGCGCGCTAGCTTTGATACTAATTCGGCGCTCACCGAGCCGTGATTGCGATCATATGGAAACCAGGCTTACAATTTGGCTTTTGCACTTCTAAATCATGGGCTGAGAACTCAACCCGGTCAAACTTCTGAAGCAGGCTGACGGGGATGCAAGTCGGACCCGGTGTCGACCACAGCTTCCCATCGCGATTCCGAGCTCAGTGCATGTGTTTGGATCAGGGTGAATTTCTTCCCCCTTTCTGATATGTTTGATTGTCACTTTCAAATATCGAACAACGTCCTTCAACACGTAGTCACGCGCAAACACTGGGGAGGTAAGGGTCTCAATGAGGTTCGTCCTGTGCTCGCATAGAGGCACTGTAGTGACAAGGCTACTGTCTGTTCCCAACAGACCCTTGTCT